GTAACCAGTCCAGTAAGATAAACAGCATGCTTTACCAGAAGCAGTTCCAGCCTGGTTCTGCTGGCATGAGAATGACGCAACACTTCCCTGGCCAGTTCAACCCACAGGTAGAATAATCACAAAACCTCTATTTTGATTGTTCATATAATGCACTGGTTATTGGCATAAACGGCAACTGTCAACTCTTCATTTCAGATTCTGTCTCAGCCCAACATCGTCTCGCCTCTGGTTCGACCTCCTCACGCCAACTCGTTTGCTGGAGGTGTCCAGCGCTCCATGGGCCCTCCAATGTCACCCAATTTGGGTGGTGGTCTCATGCCCCATCCCCGACCTCAGCACCAACAGCATTCGCAGCATAGCCAGCACCCTCCCCGAGGACCTCCTGGTCCCTCCCTTGCACCCAGAGGCACACAGGCAGCTCTGAAGGCTGAACAGGACCTAAAGGTGTGGATCCATATTTTATCTGCTGATTCTGTACGTTCATTCTATTGATGAGCCAGTCAGATGATGAGATGGTCTTTCAGTGACTAGTGGGTTGACTGACTTTAATCTTTGCATTATCACTCTGTAGGCAAAGCAGCGGGCTGAGGTGCTCCAGTCCACTCATAAGTTCTTCTCAGAGCAGCAGCAACAACAGCAGCAACTCAAGGCCCCACAAGTCAGCAAAGTGTCTCGGCTCGATCAAGCAGGAAAACCCCCACTCGACACCTCGGCCCCAAACCACCAGGCAGGAGGCGACCGCCCAGATTCTGACAAACCCCCGATCTCCACGGCCAAGCCCATACGGACTGGCCCCATTAAACCGCAGGCCATCAAACCAGAAGAGGGCAAGTAAAGAGATGCCAACCGTCTTCAAATGACGAGAAGCATGGATGGAAGAGAGAATCTAGCCCCCTTCACTCAGTCACCACCTCATATCAGCTCTGGGGGACAGTGTGGGGGAGGAGGATGAGTTGAGATTCCATCATATTTAGATGCTGATAAAATGGCTGCACAGGTTGGTCCATAGAAATCTACTGCGACGGTAGATAAGAGGCGAGTCGGAGGAAGAAAATTGATATGAGATTTGCTGCTGAGTTTGCCATTTTTATAGCTCTTGACTTCTGTTCCCTTTTTATTTTTTATTTTTTTCCCAAATAGGATCACGCATATTATAGGAGAGAAACCTGTTTTGTTAACGAAAGAATGAATCGGTTTTGTTTGTGTAGTCAAAACAATCTTAAGGAAGTTGTCATTTAGTGAAGCACACTTTTTGTTGCCCAATCTCCCATCATAACTAATCCGGAGACGTGTGTACACGGGGATGCACCTCATTATCACACATGCTCGCTCACTCGCTCGCTCACTCGCTCGCTCGCTCACTCACTCACTCACTCAACGGTTTCATCCACGGTTACCGCATGGAGACGACAAATCAGAAATTCTGTCGTCATTTTCTTTTTGGGTTTCTTTTTTGTTTTGTTTTTACCAGAATGGAAATGTGAAAATTGCAGCATTGAATTTAATGATTGATTGATTTATTGATTAGTCTGCCTGCGAGCCTTTGCTCTTGCCTTCTGCTCTCATCTCCCTGCCTGAGAATTACTGATGTGTTGGGGGGTGGGTGTGTGTATTGGTGGTGTAAACAGGGAGAGCTTGTAGCTGGACTATCCTGTATATTTAGCCAAAGGTTAAAGCAACGCAGAGATGATGTCACGGCCTTTTGTGATTGCTGTTGCGGTGGCAGCAGAGTTTTCAGTGGACTTCAGGATTACACGGATGATGTATGATCACTACTTACAGCTGTTCCAGTTTAGGGGCCTACTGTCACACACCCTATCACTGCTTTCACACCCATCCTTGCTGTCACACAGACACACACCGACACACACTTCACTGTAAAGCATCCAGATCTGCTGCTATTGACTGATTTCAGTGCCCTTAGCTTGAGTATAGCAGGGTAGGGCTATTTAGAAGAATAAAAACAGTGAGGAGCTGATTGTTGAAACAGTAGAAATCTTTTTTGAGTGTGTGTGTGTGTATGTGAACCCTCACAATAGGGGGGAGAGACAAGAACATGACTGAGAATGAGGAAAAAGATTAAATGAGAAGCCTCAAGTTCTGAAGTATTTGGGCAGAAGGACACTTGTTTTTGTTGTCTTTACTGATGAGAGCAATCAGTGCTGTTTTCTGTCTCTGCCTCACCTCCGCTGGCTGTCCCACCCACAATGCTTTCATCTCTGGGTTTTGGTGACAAGGGTCCTTCAGATATGTACAGTAGTATGCACCCTGGGGTGGGGAGGGTGTCCTCCTCACCTCAACCCTAGCTGGGGTCTCCAAAGAGTCCCTGCTTTGGAGGATGGATGAGGGAGGGAGGGTAATGAATTTTTTTTTTTTTTTAATGTTTTTTTTTGTTTTTTTTGTTGAACTTGTACAGGGGTTTCATCGCTGTATTAAAATATGTACGGTCTTATTTACATTCTCTCAGTTTGGTTACAGAAACTAATAAAATAATATACTGTTGAGATGTTTTCCAGTGATGCCTGTTTTGTACTTGACTTCACTATTTTTCTCTTACCTTTGCCTCACATCTGATTTAGCATGGATTACATCTGACCACTAGGTGTCACCACAACACTTACCAAGTTAAATGAGCATTTTAGAGTAAGGAAAATGTATTTTCTCGTAACGCAGTGCTTGGGATCTCATTCAAAAGAGGTGCCATTTTAGTGTGTTAAAGTGTAACAAATGGCATTGTCAATGGGTAATTATTTGATAATACTTTATAAATCAGTTATTAGCTTTTAAGAACAGTATTTGTGTTGCCAGGTTTGGGCTGGTGTTCATCCTCCTTCAGTACAGTTTGTACAAAAAACAATGATAACTGATGGGTATCTCCAATAATATAACAAATCTTAAATGTTATAAATTAAGTCACTAACAACTTCAGCACTTTCATTTTTATATTATATTTTGACGAAAAGGGACTGAAAAAATGTACTTAATTTCAGTCATGTATATTTTTTGATATCGCTGAGATCATAATTGCCTTGAATGCTCTACTTCAGATTTGTCAAATGATCCACTGTTTGGCATAAAGTGTTTTTCATGTTCTGACCATAAATAGTAGTTTTATTGTGGTTTGTTCAACTTTCACTCAGCAGCAAAAATCAGCCTTTAAACTTGACAGAAATAATGATTATATTCATATAATTATTGATATCGAATTATATGACCATATTGCCCAGCCCTAAATAGACATAATTTAAAGGTAGTTCTTTATTTCCTCATAACCCCTCTAATGAATAGTTTGACCTCTAACTTACTTAATATTGAAATTTACACTAGCGGACTAATGCATTAATAGGGATTTATTAATGACTTACCATTTATATGATAACTACAGAGGACTCATGCCTAAGGTGTGAAAAGTGTTTACCCTATTAATAACTTAAGAGTATTCACAACTTGGCTTACGAAAAGTTATGAATGACTTGTGACTGTTTTATGAAGCATCACTTTGCTGTCCTGTGAGAACCACTTATCTCCAGAAATTCAGCCTTTCATGAGCCAAGACAAACAGCCCTGTTTCCATCTTTTTTAGAAAGTGTTTTAGAACCTTGTTTAGCTTAAAAAGGTCATTATGCTCATTTTCAGGTTCAAAATCTTATTTAGGGGTTGTACCAGAACAGGTTTATGTGGTTTAATTTTCAAAAAACACCATATTTTTGTCATACTGCACATTGTTGCAGCTCCTTTTCACCCTGTGTGTTGAACGCTTCATTTTAGCTATGGAGTGATGCATCTTACCTCTACAAGATCTTTGTTGGGAGTTGCACATGCGCAGTTCGTAGTTAAGGACTACTATCCAATCAGAAGCAGAGAAGGACGGGTCAGTGAGAAGCAGGTAAATTCGGCTTCGGTTCAGCTGTACATGTTCCCCTTACCAGCTTGGCAATATAGACTGGAACACGAGTTTCAGAGTGGTGTTATTAATCTGTAACAGATGTATCTTTCATCCATAAACTTTTAACTGAGCTCTGTTTCTACATCACAGTAACAATGTTCTGTCCATTGACTGCCTGGAGGGTAGTTAGTGTTTAAAAGGGAGAGGAGAGGTGTGTGCTCAAGCGAGAAGCTTCCGGTCAGCAATCTGATGCAAACGAGGAAGTCCCTTAAACCTGCATTCTATTGAACGGCCAGCAGGGGGCGACTCTTCTGGTTGCAAAAAAAGTCCGGTATTCTGACGATCTATGCTGCCTTGTCGAAAAATGCTACCGTAGCGCAAATCGACAGCAGAGTCTATCAAGTCGCTCTGCCTTGTTGAAAAATGATATCTTATGTGTTCCCTTTTCCAATCCCATAAAGTTATAACTCACAGTATTATGACATATTCTATTTTTTGATTATAGTATAACATCATTTCAGGGGTAGCGTATTCTGATAGACTAATATCCCCTATCAAATAATGCTCCCAACACAGGATCATTTTATATTGCACCACTACTCACTCCATGTGTACTGTAAGGAGATGGGGAGCATGTTAAAATACTATATTATGCCATCTTTATGTAAGATATCAGGGGTAGCATATTCTGATTTTTTTATATGTTACTGGCGATCAGACAATTTCTCGATTTCCCTACAGCAAGGTTGCACAGATTTATCGGCGTGGAAACAAACCACGCTTGTGGGTCATACGCATGCGCAGAACCCATAAGTAGCACATCTCGATAGGTAGCATAAATCGACAGAACACCGGCTCCATTACAAATAATGGCAAATTACCCTACTTTTCAGCTGATTTATTACCTCAGTAAACACTTTCCTGATGTTTATGGTCTCAGTTTCTAGTTTCTTGTGTTCTTCAATACAAAACGATGTTCATTTAGTAAATTATGGTGCCATTTATTTAAAGAAGTATATGATTTGTTAACCATTGCTAAACGCGTTAGTAACAGCTTAGTGGTACCAATACTTGTCTGAAGAACATAATACCATAATAACCACATAAACTCTTGTAATTTAGGAAGAAGTTTATTTCATTACAATTTACATTACAACAGTATGTTGATGGACAAGGACATGCGATATTTAATACATGCTGAGTGAGAGAGCAATTTATTTAATAAAGATGTGGACTGGTGAAATGCTGTAGGGCGGGTAGCACCACAGGAGTGTGTGTTGTTAATTGTATGCATTAATTATCCCACTTGCTTGTGAAATTCCACTGTGCTTCATCTTTCAGACCTCAAATACAAACAAAAAAATAATACATCTGAATTAAAGGCAGTACAAAAATAATTCCTCTAAAAACATATTTGTGGACCATGCCACAGCAAAAGCTCCTCCCACTGAAGAAAAAAAAAAGCAGACCTGCAGGGGACACTGTTCCTTAAACGTCTTCGTCTTTGGAGTTTGGTTGTTAGGCTCTTCTACATGTCGATACTGATGGTGTTGGCTGTATTACTACTTCTACCACACGCATTATGCTCTAAAACTCCGAGTCTTTGAAGCAGGAACAGGTGAGCAAATGTCACTTTTCAACAGTCTCTCATGGCATCCTCAGTTGGCCTGCTGGCGACCCAGCCTGAGGTCATAGGATACCATGTAGTAGTTGTCCCAGGCAAACAGCTTCCTCTGAGCCAGGTTATAGTCGATCATGCTGTTGTAGCGGTACTTGTTCCTGAATGGGATGGCCACGGGCTTCCCCTGGCTGGTTTCGGTGTCATACATGTAGTTGATGATGGTGTCGGGTGCCGTGTAGCTGGCCACGGTGTACAGCTTGCCGCAGACAATGAAGGAGTTGGCCACAGAGTTCTTCCTGATGTTGGTCTCCCAGCTCTTCTTCACCTCCAGACTGTGTGGGTCCAGCTGTGAGATCACGATGGCTCCTTTGGCTTTGTTGGTGGAGTAGACGGCCCACAGCCCCCGCTCATCCACAGACAGGTCGATGTCCGTGTAGCCTCCCCAGGAGTAGGGGAACTGGCCGTGGAAGCCGGCATGGGAGAGGTCACGGCGGGCTGCGACGCTCTCAGATGCCAGGTCGTAGCGGATGAGGGTGCGGCTGCGACGCCTCTGATAGTACAGGGAGCCTCGGTACACAGTGGCACCAGTGCTCTCCACCGGCTCCGGCAACAACAGGACCTGTCATGGGAAAACATGAGACAATCACTACCATTTCCGGCTTATTCCCATGAACGAATATCACCCATGTGACACCTACCTTGGATGGAAAGCCTTTAGAGAGTTGTTCCATGTCCTCATACCCGAACAGCTTCCTGACGTCAGAGCCAATGGTGTCAATGCGCCAGACCATGTTGGGTCCATAAGGGGAGACAGCTTCGGGATCCTGCATCCAAACACCATATTTACCTTCTATGTTGTCGGCCTTCCTATGAGTGACCGGCTCACCAATTGAAACCAGCTCCCCACAACCTTTGAGCAGGAAAAAAACACGAGAGAGGTAAGGATAACACAAAGGGGAATGCTGGCGAGGAGCAGTGCCGGATTTGGCACCAGAACCGGAGCCGGGTGAGCAGGAAACAGAACCAAGCAGTAAACACGGCTTGACCAGGACTGAAGACAGCTTCAGAAACTGATGGAAGCCAGTTTGACGGCAGGGAATACAGAACAGATGTGATTGACAGGGGAACTGAACTGGACTGACAGAGGGATTGTGCTGAGAAGCGAAGGAACTTTAAATTCAGAGATTTGTGAATGGAGTTTGGTGTGACGTTCTTTGCAATACAGCACCAAGGTGTGGCTGAGTTCAGGGTTTAGGTTATGGTTTGGGGGGAAAAAGTTGAAAACTGCTACAAAACAAGGGTTCCACCATCTTGAAAAGCAACCATCCTCAAATCAAATCAAAAATTTTGTTTTAAATCATCCAGTGGGTTTCTGAAGACGACTTCAGGAGAAAAGGCAGAAAGTCGGCGGTACACTGTACAGTTGATCTACGTGTACATGGCTGAGGGACGATGAGGGTAATCTGATTAGGGGTATGGTGAGGTCTTCATTTCTCATCACGGAGGCAGACAGCGGGTTCAGAGATGACGTCTCTGTTAGCCTTAACTTTGTCTGAGTCACCACCATCAGAGCAGCAACTAGGTTACAACTCATTCTGGGCAGCAACTCTCCGCTGCTTATCTTATTGGGAAACCAATAAGAGGCAGGCTGTATATTTACCACTTCCTAAAATACACCCTTGCTCTCATGTCCTGGATGTAGCACCGGATTAAGGGTTAGATAGGAATATGTTTTATAAATACCATACCATACCATAAATACCATGTAGCTTCCCTGTGGCGGGGGCCTCATCAGAGATTATATGACTTCACGTGTATTTTCTTGATTCCCAAACAATCAAACCTGTGTCGCGCAAGCTGTGACATGGTTTTGGGGAAACCCATGGGGGCGGGGGGGTATGTGACATCCTTGTTAGGGGTGCTTTCCCTTTACATTTACGAGACAAACATGAAACTCAGGCAGGCCCTCATATCAGCATGCCTACAGATTGGCATGACTCTGGTATTCTGACCCCAAATTCTGCAGTATTAATAGCAGTATTTGCTTTGAGGCTGTCAGCGGGGTGGGGTGGGGTGTCATGTTTGCCCGGTCAGATGGACAGAGGGGGAGGATGAAGAAGGAGACGGGGTGAGTAAGAGAGGTATTAGCTGCCAGGAGTGGATTTTAAAGGACTCTACTGGTGTGTTTGACCACAAAGCATGTGTTCTTTACTTTTCGCTGTCCATATGTAAATAGGTTCAATACAGTGGAATATATTTTTCTTGCCGTTACAGGCAGTCTTTGTGCCTCTTTTGTGAAATATTTTGTACACACAGATTTGATGTTAAAGGTGCCCTGTACAGTTTTCTTGTAAACAAGCAAAAGTTCTGTTTACATTCACGGTTTTTAACAAAATGAGTAATGGCCTGACAAACGTGTTGAATTACTCCATTTTTCTTTGCACATTTTAGATTTTACATCTGTTTAAACTGTCTTCTTCTTCTCTGCCTTTGTGGGCACATTGCTAGTAAAATATAGACTGCAGTCAGAAGTGTTTTAAATAAAAACTTGGCAAATTGATGTTCACTACAGTGGATTAAACAAGCCAGCTAATATATCTTCTCATCGTTCAGAAATTAATGGAAACTAATGGATGCCTGAAATGGTAGAAAACTTCAAATGTCTAAAACATGCATGGTTTGCATAAATAAGTACATGTGATTTGTAGTAAATGGTACGGGCTAGAAAGCAACTCCTAGCATGGTCCTATAAGGGAGAAACAAAGAAAAGATTTTCAAACCGAGACCTGTGTTGTCCTCGGAGCCGTCAGGAGCAGGTACCTCTGTCACCTCTGCCTTCAGTTCCTGGAAGCTTGGAGATCTGTACTGCCACATTGAGTCTGACAGGGAAATATGTGAGAGATGGATTTAGTTGAAGAAGAAACAGCAAGTTGGAGGTGATTCTGCACAAAAAGTGTCCCACCTCTCAAACTGCTGCTGTCTCCCTGGCTGTTGGGCCTGGTCATCAGCTGAGACATCAGACTGGAACCTAAACGCGCGCACACACACACACACACACACACACACACACACACACACACACACACACAGAGTTTAGTGATTTCTGTTGTACATTTCACAATACTTAAAGAGAGTGTTTGTATACCCAAAGGTGGCTATGGCGCTACTGACAGCAGGGAATGTGACAGCAGGAAACAAACACCCCTGAATGAATTCCCAGCTGCTCTGGAGTCAGACAGTCGGTAGATTGGCTGCCCATAACACACATACTTGACACACTTGAGACCCCATCCTACCCGAGCACTGTCAACCTCACGTCCTTAAAACCTCACATCAGTCGTTTGACCCTTTCTCTACTGTTTCTCCTCCTCTTGTTTCTCGCCATTTACCCCCTGCTCAGTTCTTGTTTTGTCATTTGGCTCCTTTATGAACCCGTTACTGTGAAAGTAAACAATGTCTGTAAGCTGTATACGCCTCAGAGTGGATGTTTACAAAAGAAAAGAAAGAGCTTTTCAAACACGTTTTCATGAAAATTAATATAAAGTGTTTGTGTATCTGTGTCCGCGGGGGGACTATTTGTATGTTTTTAAGCACGTGCGGGCTGTGCTCCTGCACGTGCAGTGTCCTGTGATTTCAGGCGGGTAATGAGCCCTAATGAGGCAGAGAACATTAAACGTTAACATCTGGAAGATGATGTTGATTCTCGGCGTTGATGAAGAGGAGCACAACGTTGGTAACGGGGCACATGACGAACAGCAGTGTTTTGAGGGTACCAAGGGGTTTGTTATCAGGCTGATCCCACAGGACACAGCCATTCATCATCATCACAGGTAAACAGCCACATTCTCCTGCTGTCTTTCCCTGGTGTGTGTGGGTGTATGTACCTTCATATCCTGCCTCTTTGTCTGGGATGTCACTGAGCAGAATAACATAAACTTCACAGACCAAACGTGTCCTAATTTTAAGTCTTATGAGACAGCGGGCAAATCAACCCCTGCTTTGTTGTCAGGAAACATTTTGCATCTGGACATTTATATTTTTTATATTTTCGTAATTCAGGAAATTGTGATGATGATGATGTCATTTCAGTTTGACTTAAAATTGGCCACAGTCTAGTCGTGTAGTCCCTCTACCTACTGCAGGGTAAGTACAATGATTGAGACCTCTTAGGAGTTCATTGAACTTTATTTATGACTGCATTTCCTGCGGGCTGCTGGCTCAGGAAATTGAAAGAAAACGACTGAAAGACATGGTGAAACTGACTGTGTTTTGGCAGTGGACTTGGCTGGTGATTCCCTTTAACCTGAACATAAACTTAGTTTAGACACACTCGTGTTTTCACAAGTGGAAGTGTATGTAAATGTGGGAGGCGGCTGATCTGCCATTGCATTCCTCGCACTGAGCAAATTTTCACTTTTAAATGTGATTCAAAAATAATTTTCTTTTGTGTGTACTGTTGAATGTTGAATGTCCACACATTTGAATTTTATGTTTGCTCGGCTCTGAGCACGAGCCAGGTCTCCAATTAAAAGGAATGTTGCCACTTTTAGCAAACAGGCTTGCTGGCTTGTGTTGTCACTGCCAGTGCAAATTTTCTGTGAAGGTCTATTTTTAAAGTCATAAAATATCATTATAGAATATCAGCTCATATATTTTAAGCGGCAAATGTTACTGAAGGTCATAACCACTGCTTGAATTGTAAATGCTAAAATGATCCTGTCAAAGTTACAAACTTTCCAGAATGCTTTTTACTTTTATCTCCTCTCTCCTCTGGGTCAACATGTCTTCCTCTCGCTATGATCTATTCTACATCTGCCGCTTACCCCGAGAGGCCCTCTCTGCGTATCTCAGCCCGCAGGTGTTAACTTGAGGAGCTAAGCAGATAACCTGGAGTATGCAGGAGATAGAGGAAATAAGCTATCCTGATGCAGAGGGAGTAGGGATGTCTGGAGGACGGGAGATGGTAAGGAAGGATTTACTGCTGCTGGCAATCTCAGCTTTACAGGTAATACACTCTGAGAGCCAAGAGGGCAACACAGCGATGGCTTAACTGAGAAAAGAAAGGGGGATGGAGTGTGAAAATACAAGCACGGAGCCTAATTAGATGGATGTTTGGCCACTGCAAACACACAGAATACCAGAGCTTAACCTCACTGGCACCTAACGCAACTCCAAAGCTCTATGCAGCCCTCTAACCCCTGGAAGGATAGTGTTCTTGGCCCCTCTCTGCGGCCCCTTCCATCCCCACCAGCCCTGACCCACCAGGCGTCATCAAAAGCCCAGAGAGGATACCTTGGCATGGAACCACCACTTCCAGAGTGTGCATCACATTTCAGCCACCCCCCCATCCCCCAACCAGGCTATTCACGCCCTGCTCGTCATGCAGAGGGAAACACCAGTCATAAAGAAAGCAGGATCTGCTCATAAATAGTGAGCCGACCCTCTCTGGCCTGCCACCATCACCCCTAAATGCAGGCAGGAAGCTGGAAGCAGAAACCTGAGCTGAGAGGCAAACAAAACATTAACCATACAAATATACACACGAGCAATCAAACAGGTACATGCATCATTAGAGGGTGTGCGCACATTATTCTGCCGTTCTCTTTAAGGGGATTTGTGCAGGCAGATAAGGAACCTGAGCATCCTCTCCTCTGTTGCTGCAAGCACTGTGTGCACACACACACACACACACACACACACACACACACACGGTATCCCTGTGCCACTGCAATGCACTCTATATGCTCATGGTATTCCACATGTAGATGACATTTATGTGTCATTATTTCTCTGCTCCACTTAACCAATTATCCCTCAGAGAGAGATGCCAAACACATATTTCAACAGAAAGACAACCTCTCTGCAGGTAATTAGGTAATCTAGTCATCTTAATTGCAAGATGGATAGGGGACATTTTATGTAAAATAACTTGTGCACACTGCACAATTATCTAACAGCAGGAAATTCATAACAATAGAATATAGTTTTCTGTTAAGCTTTGCACCTTTTGGAAAAAGCTCTTAAAGTGTGTGGTGGTTTGAGTGTATCTCTTACCCACTGCAGGTCTCGTCAGGCCACTGTTCTGCAGAGGCTGGCTTGGTGGCACCGCAGGGGTCTGCGGGGGACATGGTCTGTTTCTCAGCCTCTCCGTCTCCCTTCTCATCTCCTCCATCCTGCGCTGAAGCACCTCCAACTCCCCCTCCAGGCGCTCCTTCTCCCCCTGTAGCAGGTTCCTCTCCCCCATGGCCCGGTTCAGCGCCTCCTGAAGCTCAGGCTGAACTCTGGTTCCAGCCCCTAGGGGACCCCCGGTGTCCCCCCCAGAAAGCTGGGACACCAGCACCTCCAGCAGGCTGAGTCTAGCCTTCAGGCCCTCCACCTCGGGGCCTCCGGTCTGCGGGCAGCTGGCCTCGACCGGGCTGGGTACAGTGAAGGTGTACTGGCATCGTCCACTTCGGTCGTTTCCCCTCCACAGAGCAGCTCGGTCCTGTGCGTCACCTCGCAGCAGAAGACCACACATGCACATCGAGAGAAGGAGGAACATGCTGGAGATGGCCCTTCCACACAGACAGATCAGAGGTTTACTTTATTAATTCTCTCTCTGAAGAATTACTTTCTTTCTTCTGTCAAGTCTTCTTTTAGTCTTCAGCTCTCCGCTGGAATTCTGCTTTAATCATTTACCAATTCCCACTGACAACTTAGTTTCTTATTTTGTCTCACTCTTTTCTCAGGTATCTCTTCTTCGTCTCTCCTCCCCTCTCTTGTTCTTCTCTCCTCAGTGGACAGGTCGGTAACACTGAGCACACCCCAACAGCTCACAGATATTTATACAATCTGGAGGGGAAGGAAGGAGGGAATGAGAGGAGAGGTGAAAGGGAGGGAGGGGAGAAAGGGACAAGAAAGGGGTGGGGGGTGGGGGGTGCAGAGGCATAAAAGGGGAGGGAAAAGAGAGAAGAAGAAAAGTAATGGGACAAAAACATCCCTTTTTCACACAAGGTTTGAGTGTCTGTCTTTCTGCAAAAGCTGTTTTTTGGATTTTAGTCGTGACCAACGTGACCGCTCTCTGTCTTTTAAATTTGTGTAATTCAGCCCCACTAATGTCACTTATTCATGTCCCATCTGTAAAAACGTCTCCCCTAATACGTGTGTGATGCAGCCCCACATGTCAAAGGGGATTTGGCTGAGATTTGGCCCCATGCATGGCAGGGAGAGCTGGGCCTCGTTGAGATACGATTACCTCCTGAGGAGCCGGTGTCCCATTTCATATTGGTAGGGGGCCAGAACGTGACGCAAGCAGACGATAAAGATTGTCATTACAAAGGGTCAAGGTTACAAGTCATTCGGCAGATACCCGACGCTGACCCCGACCCCGACATAGACTGGGTCCCTTCAGCTGAGCTCGGGTTTGTTGTGGACAGTATGTGTGCATTTTCAAGACAACACTCACTCACTGCAGTTTTTTTTCAATGTTTACTTAATACAACATGAGTGAGCTGCCGGGGGCCATTTCTTCCCTGAGTTCACTTCCTGTCACTTGCAGCCTGGGTGATTTTGTTGCAGCCTGCCTCTTGTCCCTCCTCTCTAGTCTTTTTGCTTTAATGCAATATCACAGACACGTCAGGACGCTGCCTGCGAGGCTCTCTTCTACAATCATGTGGTACGGAGGATGATCTATTTATTTTCAGAGAGGCAGGATAAAAGATTTGAAAGTGAGACACTTGCTCAGATGAGGCATGTGTGCAGACACACGCCTTCCAATCTTAACCCCAGCTCTACAGGTCAGCTCACCCTCATTCTTACCATGCCTCTTCATTTGGGTCCCTAAAACCTTCCCTTGCTCCCCTCCTTCACTTCCTTTCCTCATGTAACCTTACTTCTGTTTATGTCCAGAATGCTTCACTCCGGGGAGGCCAGAAAGCGAAGGGTGCACAGAGGGGAAGGGGGCACACTCTTAAAAACACACACCTCCTCCTGCAGGTTGATGCGAGGCTCACCTGCTTCTGTCACTGCTTGTTTGCAGACAGCTGGGGGCCCCTGACACAGTTGTCTTGATTGATGAAGCAAGCCTCTGATTTGGTTGGACAGATGGATGAATGGATGAATAAGGTACAGAATGTGTTTGATGTTGCGAAACACTGAACTGCATGTATTCACGGGTTGGGTCCATCCTCTTCCAGGAAATATCTTAATAATGAGAAGCTGAAGAGAGGGTAGAAGGTGGGACACATGAAATAAAGGACTGAATGAATCACCGAAGGAGGAAAAGCTGGGAGTAAAACCACATGTAAACAGAAATGGAGAGAATGAGCAAAGAAAGAAGCTCCTGGGAAAGTAGGAGAGAGCGATAAATACGAGGGGAGTGTGTTTAAACATTTGAACAATGTTTTATTCACAAGATTCCCAAATGATTATCAAAAGTAGATGATTTCTTTTTCTGGAGATTTATTCTCTCCCTCCTCTAGATACGTCTCTGCCTGTACAGAGGCAGAGTTTCCTCCTGACAGGGTGTGTGCGCGTGTGACTGACTAATGCTGGTTGGCACATTGTCCACTGCGTGAGTTTAGTTCACTTTTACAGAACTCATATAACTGCAGTTATGCCCGGAATCTTGAGTCATCCAGCATTAGTCCTTAACAGAGGACCAAAACATCCTCTGCTGCCAGTGTGGGTGTTTCTCCGCAGGCAGAGAGGACAGAAAACACTCCTTGTGTGCACAAATATAATAGTATAACATAATAATTTTTTTCCTGTACATGGAAGTCATGACCAGAGGTATAATCAAACATCTAGGCACCCAGTTTGCAGTTAAAGCAACACATCTGTGAGATCTGAGAAGAGCAGCAACATTTTACAGCCACTTGTCCAACCAGGACTTTACTACGTTTGATTTCACTGACTTGAGGAACGGTCCAGTGGTACGCAGGCTAATCAACATATAAACAACTGTATGAGATGAAAGGACCTCTCCTCTTTCTCTTCAAAGCTGAAACAAAGGCGCACCCGCAACATATGAGAGCTGGACGACCATCTGCCATTGATCAATGAAGTAAAAGGCCCCTGTGGGCCAATTTTATTGCTATCAGTGTGTTTGTGTCTGCTGTCCTCAGAGGACGAGAGCAGCGGGTCTATAGGAACAAAAACGCTTCACGGTCTCCAGACTATCCAACTTAAGTGCCATCTTGGGACTCCACGCTGCCAGTAAAACCACAGACCAATAAAAAAAAGTCAGGTAATGAGAGGACATAAAAGAAAACCCAGGACCCTGTTGGCTCTTGAGAGAGCGAGGATTTTGTAAGTGGTCAAGAGTGGCATGACGATTAAGTTTTTCCCCTCTTCACCTCCAGTCATCTTTCCTTTTTTCCCCCTCATTTCCTCCTCACAGGGAGATTGGCAGCCAGTTCAAACCAGATTAAACCAGACCAGTGCCCTTGAAAATCACTTTATTTCAGAGCAAAAAAAAAAGAATATCAGTCTTCCAATGCAATGCCAGAGTATTGTACATCATTACAGAATCAATATTTACAGCTAAAATAAATTACATTAAAAATAATAAATGTTTGAATGTATTATACAGTTAATTAATACAGACACAATGACACCTAAGTTTGTTTCACAGCTCAACGTTTAACTTGCATCACTTAAATGACCCATCCTTAAACCTAATGTAACAGTACAGAGAGACAAAACGGTCTCTTCAGTGGCGAGGGGAATACCAGCCTTCATACAAGCTTCACATTAAGCAGCCAGCAGAAATAAGAACTTAAGAATGGTGAAAAAAGACAGAGGCAGTATGAAAACCAAACAGAATTGCATCTGCAGAGTGACAGTTTAACAAAAAAAGGATTGGTGACCGTGACCAAACCGGCCCAGAGCTGAGCACAACCCAGGAGGAAGGTGAGAGGTTGAGAGTGCAGAGTGGCGAGGAGACATTCATAACCCGGATGTTTGGTTTGCTGTACAGTATAACAAGCTATCAAGAGGCAGACAGAAATGCAATGCGGGCATTTATGGAGAACAACAACGCAAAGAAAGCAGGATGTTGTCTGAACAGATGGCATTCCTTTCTAGTCCCTTTTCCAATCATCTGTAGTGATGAGGGACCATACCTGACACATGAAATCACTTTTCTGTCCGAAAGCCTTTCTGATGATTAAAAGAAGCGACCTTTGACTACACTATGATACCTTGCCTTGTGTTGAACAGTGAAATGTGTTTGCAAAATGTTCCCTATGAACGTCCTCATTCTCGGACAGTGAGAAGACGGCACACAAGGAATCATGGGTGGACATCTGAGTTTCGCTAAATTCGCTAAATGTTAGAGCCCCTTTATACGAGGCTACTGCAGCAGATTCAGACCAGCTAGTTGGCATGGATTCCCTGCCTTTTCCAGTATCTATCTATATGATATAATATGCAGGACCTGGAGTTTCCCTGTGGTCAAGGCAAAGACAGGGCTCTACACATGTTAAGTATCATGGAACGGCACACTCCTTCACAATGACTAGAGGGCTGAGAGTCAGCATTTTTCTCACAAACTGCATTAAAATATCTCCCCAATTCTCCCATGTTCCCTTTTCTGTGGCTTAGTTGTAAACCAGGGATCAAACCAAGCCTTAGTACTGATCTCACTGCACATTTATTTAGAAATACCAATGATAAGATCTGTACTAAGGGCAAGTTGAGGTCAGATCCTTGAGGGTGCACAGGCTGATGCTGAGGAGAGTGGGGGAGGCTGGCTGGCGCCCCCTAGCGGGTGTGTGGAACTGTGTGGAGAGGAGAGGGGACACTAACGATATCGCAGGATCACTGGAACTGAAAAAGAGAACGAATATTTAATGAGTAAGTTCTGCACATTATGTAAATTTAAACTGTGCTTGTGTGTGTGTGTGTGTCTGGTCTAACACTCACCGATGATAATGAGAAGGAGAGCAACGACTACCAAGGCAATAATCATCTTCATCTGTGGAATAAAAACAACACACGTTGAACACCTTCTCATCATACTGGATACCTCTCACTACAACGTTAGATGTAAACACACAAAGAGACACGGTGAAGGTGTCACACACACACACAGAGAAGACAGACAGTCAGCCCACCTTCATGTCTCTCCACCACATCCTCCTGTGCAGCTGTTTGGCTCGGCTACTGAAGGCAGACGCGTTGTCCGATAGGCTCTCTGGAGTATCACATGACCGCAGCACGGACGAGGACACGTGAGGAGGAAAGATCAATTAGAGAAGAGGGGGGGGGGGGGGACATCTGTTAATCACTAAGTAAACAATAAGCTGGCTATTGTTTGGATTTTGATGATGGATAAGGTGACTCAGTTATAAGGTGCTACAGTTTTGCAAGCCTTAGCTCTGCTGGTGAAATCACTCTTAAACATGTCGACTACTGCCATGAAATGTTGAACAACAACGGGATTTATACACGACGGAGCAGAAACACATTTCCTCAAACATCCCTTCTGTCCTTGTCGTGATCTCCCTCTCCAAAATGCTCGCCCACACACCACTCCCCGTCTCTCTGTTTCTTGGATACCATTGTCAACTCAGTGTTTACACATCTTAACAGGATGGTTACAGCTCCCTAGCGTGCGGCGCTGTACTTCTCCGAGCCCCTGTCCCTCTTTAACAGCCTTTGTGTCTGTCATGTGTCTGCGGTTTCCACGTCCATGTGCCTGTTAACGGCCTGTTGGGACTACAAAGAGGAGCGCTCAGACGGGGCTTCTGACAAGAATGCTTGTTAATCTTAAGGAATTTAACAACAGGCTACCTGCACATGGGTCAGAGGACAAACTGCCAATGTGTGTCAATCACAGGATTTTATATTGCTCGCATAAAGACAACACGCCCTGTGTATAGACACGCAGTCAGTCACACACATTGTCCACAGACCCACAAATGCAGCAAAGCTCACATGTACACAAAGACACGTGCAAACACAAATGTGTTCCAGATGTGCGTCATTGTCTTGGTTGGTTGGTCAACATGACAGAGACAGCATTTATACAACATCTGTGTGGATGTCATGATGAGGCCTAATAGACTGGCAAGAGATACGAGCACGTCATCCATAGAGGAGGAGGAGAAAGAGCTGTGCGTGTCTTGTTGAAAGCCTTGCACGTGCGTGTGAAGTTGTGTAACAGAGCGAGCTGAACACGTTTCACACACCTGCTTGGCTTACACAGAGTAACAGAAAAAAAGAACGGGGCTGTGTGAATGACACCTGGTAAAACACTAATCCTGGACATATCATTAACACTATTAAAGTGTACCGAGTGTATTTAAGGTCAAGTACCTACTCTATTTTTAGAATCAAAAATCATTTGGTGGTTCCAGCTTCACAAATGTCAGGATTTGATGATTTCCTTTGTTATGTATGTTAAACTATACTGAATATTTTGGGGTTTTGGACTGTTGGTCAGACAAAACAAGACATTTGAAGATGGACTTTCAAAAGCAGTTTTAACTATTTTCGTCACCCCAGTTGCAAACTGCTTTTTACTTGGTATATTTAACAGACACATGCACTCAGTCAGTACACAAATATTTCATGCAGAGAGTGATTCTCTTGAATTTGGAAATTCTTATTAGCAGAATATTTATAAGCTAACAATATCCTACATTTGCCTCATACGCGGACAGGTCTGAGATCACACCACAGAGTCATACCAAACCCTTCACTGCTTGATTTAAACATACATTCAGGATCATTGGGCCTATTGCACATTTTCCTATTAACATAAGCAAATGCCAAAACAATCCTACAGACAGTGCGGACAGCAATCTTCAGAGCCATGATTGAGAAAGCATTCCTTGTGGAGTTTGAGACAACTTCATTTTACACTATAAATCAACAAAACACATACACTGCACAAGGTGTCCCACTGTGACTCACCCGACTTGTCCTGCAGGTCGTCGAGACGCTCGCCCCTCTCTATCACCTTGGAGATGTTCTCCTGCATCACATCGATCACCTCGTCGACCTGCGACTGCACCCTACGGACACAAGTGGGTGTGAGGCACAGAATCAGAAATAATAGACATGAATCAGAAATGATAACAGGTAGGATTTGTCCAGGATTGATCTTTTGGTGGCAACCCACCACAGCACACTGCACCTGTTTTCCCAACAATATCTTCTTATCTATATCTAGCCTTGTCCAGTTGGCGGGCAATAAAAAGCCCGTCAAAAGGTTCTAAGCCTTACTGTGACCTGTCAGCACCTGCTCAGTACGTGCAGAATCATGCTCAAATCCTAGTCCAGATTACTCATCAGTCACTCTTATTCTATTGTATTTCTTAGCAATACCTCGTGGAGGGATGTGGGGTCAGAGGGAGGGAGGACATTGCCAAATAAATAAAAAAGGTGGAGAGGCTCATAAGTGAGATACAAGACAAAGGAATTTGCTTTCTCTGATCATATTTTCCAGCACCATTACACTGATTGTCTCAGACAAGAGACTGCAGGAAATCATCAGTCTTGGATTTTAGCTTGATTGAAGGCAATTGTATTAAACATGCAAAGCCCATAGCCAGAGTGAATCACACCATCAGGAAACTGAGGGACATAACAAAGCACGAGCTGCAGCAGCACACACGCCAACACGGTTCAGGCAGACACAGAGGTGAAGGCACACAACATTCCTGGAATCTGTAACGATGGCATCTGGTTTCATGTGTGAATCTGGTACAACGACGAGCGGTCAAGTATGAACTGAGCGTGGAGAAACAAGCCTGGGTGCCAGACTGCCTCAACAATGACCTCCTCTGCGCTCTGGTTCTCTCTGGAGGTTAGTGTGGAAACAGACTGCAGAGGGACTGGGACGTTCTGGAAAAGTTACGCAACAACCTGCACATAGCGGCCTCTCTTACACAATCCACTAACAAACCTGCAGCTTCTGGTAAACATGACGACTCACAGTTGCATAACACCCTTGCCAAAACTCAAGAGTGCTGGCAATACCACTCTGACCTCTGGCTTTTAGTTGTAATGAGGAATGTGTTGGTACTTACTGCTTCATTTTATCATTCTGAGGTCCAAATCTGGGTCCTGTGGGCCCCCTCCTGGAAAACAGATGTTAATCAGGCCAAACTTACCAATTTAATCTATAAATTTCCATATTTAACAAATGATTTCGCTGTTGACTTTGTGTACTCTGCATTAACAATCCATATTAGTGTTCTTGCTCTCATCACTCTGCTGTGTAAATTGTATTTTAAATATATTTGATTTATTATTGATCCAACAAGCTCAACGCCTGTATAGAATATATCCTCGCATAAACTCACAGAAAGAAGTCTTCCTCCTCATCAGAGTCCTCCTCCAGTAGATTCCTCTGAAAAAGAGGAAAAGGTCAGATAAAAGTACGCTCTGGATAATGAATAACTACTGTCTCCTAATCAGAGATTATCATACCATTTCCACTGTTTTTAGGGCAAGTCTGGTCCTGATACAGCTTGGGGTTTTGGTAGTGATGGTATCACCCTGCCAACTACACTGTGTCATTGGTTACTTGGTTGTGGACAAAGCCTAACAAGTTTAAAGGGCCACAATTTAGTATTTTAGCACTTCAAATGCTTTCAAATTTGAGTCGGGAACAAGCTCCAGTACCAGCATCTTGTCAGATGAAAGGCCCAAACAGAGTACATTCTTGGCACTCACAGCTAGTGTTGCAGATCCAGAGATACGAAACTCCTCCAGAGGCCAGACAGCTGTTGTACTGATCAATAGATGCTTTTTCGGTCCGTCTTCAGAAGGCAGATTCGGCCAAATACACTGCTATTATAGTGCACTTACATTATGATGTCTTGCTAACAGTAAAACGCTGTTGCTGCTCTGCTGTTCTGCTTGCCAAACCTCAATAAAAAAACTCTACTAAAAAAACTCAACCTCAACATCAAACTCTGACAAGGACAATCAGTTGGCTGGGATGCCGTAGTGGACCTGAACAGATTCAGATTAAAGACTAAAGTGATGTTTCTGGGATCTCAAGGTAGATTATCTCACACTTCCATGATCACAACCATGCAAGCTTCATTAAATTCATACAGGAGGAGAACTGGACCAGGAGGAGACAGTAAGGGCAGATTCACACCTAAAGGTCCAGTTCCTGAATCAAACCAATTTAAGGATGATACCTTCTTTAAATTTTCCAACTGGTCTGGTTTGCTATCATAAAGGCAAACCACAAAGGGTCCAAAAATTGTTAACAAAAGCCATGTGGTGGTAATGGCGTTCACTTATTGGTCATTCAGTCAGTGGGTAAAAAAACAAACCCCTCCAAATACTTATATAGTGCTTTAATGTACTGTTGGCGCAGTTTTTTAAATTTTCACATGACACGGCTCATCAGTTCGCTGGAATTCATTCTTCATTTTATTGCTGAGTATTTTGAATATCTCAGAGATCTTCTGCACTTTCTCTAGTAACTGAGAAAAGTTCTCTTCCGCTCAAATATTCAGGAGGCAGCTCACTTTGTTGTGAGTCCAGGTTTGTCCCCCGCTAGTCGACAATTTGGTAGCTAAGTCACCAAAACAGGAAAACAAAATGTTTTTAAACATTTGAACGGCACATAAAATAGCACGCTTCCTGTTATTGGTTTAAACGGTGTTGAACCACTCCAGAGTTCACCCCAGAGCGATTGTTTGGTCCGGATCAGAGTTCAATCTGGTCCGGTGTTCACACCTGCCCAAACGAACCGCACTAAGAGGGTAAACACTCCGGGTTTCGATGCAACCTGACTAAACAAGGCCACCCTCAGAGTCTGCTTCTCATTGGATGGCAGAGTGAGACAGGAGGACTATATTCACTGCCACTGGGAAAGACAGGTCATCATCATATATTGAAGATCGGCTAAAGATGGCCCGAGAGATTGCATACATACAGTATGTTTTTCCGTGAGTTTAGGAGCAGCACTAATTACTTTTGAATTCCAGTATGCAGACGTAGCTTCGGTTAAATGTCCATTTTTTTCCCAGGCATGGTAATCACCTTCTAACAATCATCCTGTCACGACAGAGGGCCTGTGAAGGGAAAGCCGGGGAGTCCTGTAATGTTGACAGCTGTCAGCCAATTTTGTGCCAATGTAGACATTTTAACATTTTATTTTTTATTGTAAATACACTGTAATCTGCAAAAAATATTAGCCTGGGGGAATGGTGGCCACATGATCATAAATAACTTTATATGTCGAGGCACTAATACTCTCCTTGTGTATATCTTTCTCTCTTTCCACTGTCTGGTATGGGAGACGTAGGGGATACCTGGTAGCTATTATCAGAGGACAGGAGGTAGGGCAGTAAAGGGAATGGAGGGATTTTGTTATGCAAGTCTCCCTGTGAGCTTAGCTTTGATCCCAATTCAACACAATAACAAACAGGTTTGCGCAGAGGAAACAGAGGATTGAATAAAGTGAAGAATCAGAGGTAGGACAGGGAAGGTGGAGGTGGGTGGGAGGGGATGGACTCTTTGATGAGAACCAGACATTTGGCCACAGGAGTATCTTCCCTTAACTCCTTCAAAACACTCTTTCTTGCATTCCTTCACTTTCTCTTCAGTTTTTCCTTTTAATGGACATCTTACAGCAAAATTGGCATTTTATATCAACATCTGTTTTTTACTATACTTTACTATAACTATACTTTTTACTATAACATGCCTAGCTGACAGCTTTCAACCATATCCCGAATATAGCGCGCTGAATCTATATCTAAATCACCAGGAGCTCCCCCTTTTTTTTTTAGTATTATTAATAGTATTATTATTTGATGACAGTGATAAGCAAAAACCCAAACACCCCCAACTCCCTCCGTCTGTGTCTCACCCGCTCGCTGCGAATGGATCCCGTGACCTCGTCGTCATTGAGGTGTCGTTTAAACTTGGGGGGCATGTTGTCTTCAGGCTGCTCCTCCCGATCTGGCTCCCTCTGTAGGACAGGAGGAGAAGAGGATCCGTCAGTTAGGATCTGCGGCACTGTCGGAGAGCTCTTTGAAAACAAGGAACAGTCCTCAACACACTTCCACCAAGCCCCAAAAGTTCCAGATGCTCATAAATGTTACACATGGCGGTCTGCTAAATGAGAGTGCTCTGACATTTGTAGGTGGAAGTGAGTGATTTGACTTGTAGGCATAGCCACAGCCAGGTCCTGCCTTGGAGCAGAACATGGAGAGAGTGGAACCCTAAATTTAAACTGGCTCAGTAACGATTGCATTAATGAGACTGGTTATGGTCAAGCAATCTGAGGGGTCTTCTAGTGCCAAAACTTCCTGTTAAACAGCCTGACTGTATTAGTCACAGAGTTGACTTGGCTTATTTCCTCTGCAATCTAATATTTATTTCTGGAAAATGTTAAGAAAGTGGTTCTTCCATTATATAGGCTGTCGGTGACGTAGTGTTTTATGCCTTGTCAGTAAACAAATTAATAAGAAATATTAATATATCTTATTAAGGTGTCTTAATTCCCAATATTTCTGGGAGCAGGCATTGAGTCTCACTAGCTGTGAAAGGAAATGTCATCATAGCGCTGTGTGCCTTTGGGTGTAGAACTCTTCTATGTCAGATGTGGAAAACATGCTGTTCCTCCAATTATACTTCCTCGAGTCTGTGTTTGTGTGTTCCGTGTTCCAAACACTACAAGTAATAGTGCGACAAAACACAGCGGTGCCTCAATAAAGAGCCTTTGTGCTAAAAAAGAACTAAACAACATGTGATCCTCAGGCACTATACTGTAACCACCGAGGGGAAAACACATTAGTCTCACTCATACACATACAACCTATACCATTGAATCCAGTTCTGTCTGACACTCTGGCTTTCTCAGCAGCGTCCTTTTCTGGCACTGTGGTTGGAAAAAGGCCTTTCAGTGGCCAGGAGAGGAGAAGAACTTTTCCAGTAAACAGAGGAGAAGTGAAGCAGCGGACGGTGCTCTGTCTGAAGCAGCGACAGCGTGAAGAGACACAGAAAGAGAAAGAGGAGAAGCCAAATCTAACATGTCAGGGTCGCAGAAGGAAGACTTGAAGGGTAACTTAATTTTTCCCCCCATGTTTTTGTATCTATGTGACTAATTAGGACAACGTTTATTGAAACAGGTCAGGTATTGAGTGAGCGTGCTGCAGTCAGCAAGTGCGTCCTATCAAAGTGTGTCTACTTAAGTGGTTGTTTTTGCCACTGACAGGCTCAGATTGTTATTATAAGTGTCTGACAACATTGTGGAAAGGAGAGAGACCTTTCTTTAAAAAGTAACATCCTTTCCCACCAGAAACAGTCGCTATATCGCCATTGTCTAAGCCACCAGACTCCCTTGACAAAAATAATAATTTTACCTCTCTGGTCTCCTGCTGACTTGACTGGTTAGTTTGCGGTACTGGATGACTTTGGAGTTTTAACCCTTTAAAACACAGAATCATACAGTAACACAAACAAACTCACTGACTGAGGCAATGGTAGACCAGCAACTCCCGTGTTCTGTGAGGTAAAATTACAGTTTCTGGTTAAACAAAAATGATCTTACTCTTTAAATAAAGGCGTGTCTCTGTAGGGATCCTTTCCACAATAATGTCAGGCACAGGCAATGCTGTCCAAATTAGTTACATAGACACAAAAGCATGGGAAAATAAGGTCCAGGTTGAAAAATACCTAAGTTACCCTTTAAGAAAACTGCTCTATTTCAAAAGAAGACTTTTAAGGGTGCACACCATAACAAATCTGTATTGGATTCATATCAAAGTTGTTATTTACAAATTATAAATACAAATTACAGAATATAATGTCCGGTTTGGACAAAAGACCTGAGGAAATTGCATCATTATAACCACAAGAGACGACTGCAGATTATTAATGATCACAATCAATTTCTGGATTGCAACTTAAAGAATGCCAACACATTGTAATGGCTTTAAGGTCAGAACAAGTAGTATGGACAATAAAACGACAATAAATCTCTGAAGCACAGCTGTTATCAGGAATAGTAAAAATCCCAGCCGCTGACAATTTTAGCTGTTTAATCTGTTGATTAGCCTAATGTTACATTTACGCTAGTACGTCAGACTGTCGTAGTCTACCTTATTACACCACAGTAATTTAAGTGAAAAGTGACGAATGTAAACGCCAGCATAGCTAGCTTACTAACTAACGTTAATTTAGCTAGTTCAGGCAGGCGGCTTCATTGACAAATGTAGCTAACGTTACCCAGCTAAGCTAAGGATGCTAACGTGGCTAGCTACCTGCTTTTCCCCCTCAAGACTCGATGGCCGATGTTGGCGAACACAAACACAGACAGAGACTCGGGTATTAATCCAGGGGTTCCAGCTGGCTTTACGGTGTTGTCACTTTCATTTCAAATGCTGTCCAGACGATGAGACAGGATTATCATTATGGGTGCTAGCGATCGGCCCGTCTTTTCTCCGTCTGAATCAGCTGACCAGGAAATGAACACAAACAGCTGGAGGAGGAGGAGGAGGAGGAGGAGGAGGAGGAGGGGCCGCTGCAGATGTTTGACAGCGTGGGGAAATATTCGACTCAAGTGTAATTATTAATCTTAATGAAGCAAATCTTCCAATTCATCAAAGAATAATAATATAATAATAATAATCCTTATTTGTAGAGCACTTTTCAAAAACAAGTTACAAAGTGCTTTAACAAGTGTAAAGAATAATACAAAAAAGATAAGAGCATGACAATTTAATATAAAATTAGTAAAATACAATAAAATAAAAGGGATAAAATAAAGTCAAATAAGATCGGGAAAAGCTCTCCTAAAAGTATGTTTTAAGAAGGGACTTAAAAGAGTTCACTGACTCAGCCGACCTGATTTCCTCGGGCAGGCTGTTCCAGAGCCTCGGGGCCCTGACAGCAAACGCTCTGTCCCCTTTAGTTTTCAGTCAAGACTCTGGAACAGACAACAGACCTCTGCCCGAGGATCTCAAGGTACGTGCTGGTGTGTATGGGACTAAAAGGTCAGAAATATAACAAGGCGAGAGGCCATGAAGAGCTTTAAAAGTGATCAATAGAATTTTAAAGTCAATTCTAAAACATACTGGGAGCCAGTGTAATGAAGCTAAAATAGGAGTAATGTGGTCATATTTCTTTGTTCTGGTTAAAAGCCTGGCAGCTGAGTTCTGGACAGTCTGGAGTCGATCAATAGATTTTTGGGTTAAACAGGTGAAAAGGCTGTTGCAATAATCCAGGCGTGATGAGATGAAGGCGTGTAAAATGGTCTCGGTGTCCTTAAAAGTTAACATAGATCGAATTTTAGCTATATTTCTAAGTTGATAAAAACATGATTGAACAAGCTTTGTGGTGTGCTGCTCGAAATTTAAATTACTATCAAACCAAACACCAAGGTTCTTTGCCACAGGCTTAATGTGAATTACTAGGGAACCAGCAGATGGCAGTATTTGATTTGCCATCTGCTGGGACCCGATGACCAGGATTTCTGTTTTGTCTGAGTTCAGCTGGAGGAAATTATTTGACATCCATTTTTTCACTTCACAAAGGCAGTTGTTAAGTGAACTCAGCATTCCAGGGTCTGTGGATCTGACGGGCAAGTATATTTGTGTGTCATCAGCATAAATATGAAAAGAAATGCCATGTTTATGGATAATATGTCCAAGGGGAAGCAGATACAAGGAAAACAAAATGGGTCCTAAGACCGACCCCTGAGGCACACCATATTTAACTGGACAGAACTAGGAGACATAGTTGTTTACAGACACGCAAAACTTCCTATTTGACAGGTAGGATGAAAACTATTCTAAGGCAGTACCAGAGATCCCCACCCAGTGCCTCAGTCTGTCTAACATGATGTTGTGATCAATGGTGTCAAAAGCAGCGCTAAGGTCCAGGAGTACAAGGACTGAGCACATACCTTCATCAGCAGACATTAAAAGGTCATTGGTGACTTTAAGCAGGGCAGTCTCAGTGCTGTGGTACTTCCTAAAACCAGACTGAAACTTTTCAAATAATTTGTTATTTTCCAGCACAGTGAGCAGCTGTTTGGACACAATTCTTTCTAGAATCTTTGCAATAAAAGGCAGTTTTGAAATTGGTCTAAAATTATGTGGGAGGGAGGGATCTAAACCAGGTTTCTTTAAAAGTGGGTTCACGCAAGCCGTTTTAAAATAATCAGGGACACAACCAGTAGATAGGGAATATACACATCTCTGGCATTACTCTAAGTGAAAGCATACATATAAATTGAAGTGAACCATATTTCTAGATTTTACAAATTATCATCAGCTGATACAATTAAATTAAGTTTTAAGTTATAAACTAAAATACTAAACAGTATATGAAGTAAATTAAAATTTGCTTCACCTTTGCCAATTACATGAGTACGTGTTATAATATATACCAATACTGTTCATTTTTCTGTAAGTACTTTTACTTTTAGTAGCTGGTAGTCTAATACTTCTGTAATTTTACTTTAGGACTTTTGGACTTGTGCTGTATTTTTACGCTGTCGTACGTGGTTTTACTTTAGTTTTACTCAAATATCGGTTGAGTACTTCATCCACCACTGACTGTTATAACCGCACATGTCTGCCTCACCTGTAGATGGCAGCAGTGCAGCTGACATGTGCCTAACGTGACGAGAAGAAGATGAACTTCAGCCGGAAAAGAGTGAGAGCGTAGTTGGTAAGCTGTTTGTTTATCAAGCTGCTTTTACAGATACTGTAATATTATTACGTTTTCCTGAATCACTGTAGTAGTTTTTTAAAGCAGAATGAGTTTCTGTAGCTGCAGGTATTTAAAACCAGGCTCTGTGTTTGTTGCTGTTTCTCCAGAGCTGCTCACAGTCCTCACAGAGACATGCAGAGTGCTGGAGGCAGCGCGGATCAGCCTCATCCTCTGTTTGGAGGAGCGCTGTCAGCTGTCATCCCCCACAGCGCCACAGACACCAGCGAGCTGAGGGAGATCCCGGACAACCAGGAGGTGTTTGCCCATGCACACACCGACCAGAGCCTGATCGTGGAGTTGGTGGAGTATCAGGGTCAGGTGGCAGACCAAGACGCCGCCAGGTATCACTTTGAAGACATCGCAGGCAGTAACAAAGCTCTAGAGCCAGGTGCTTTTGAAGTGGCCAGCGTTGTGCCCCTGCCCAAATCTGAGCTGTCCCTGTCAGAGTGCAGCTCTGCCTGGATGCTGACTGGGACACAGTGTGTATCCAAATTCAACGAAGAAGCGAGGAATACAGTGACCCTTCACCTGGGTCTGTTCCGGCTGCCACAGTTCTCCACAGATGTCCTGATAAGCTTCAATGATCCGCAGAACATCAGCCCTGACAGCAGCAGTGCTGCTTCAGTGGGGACACACAGAGGGCCATGGACGGTGAAGGACTTCCAGCGCTTGTTGCAGACCCTGACTCTGCACAACCCGGGGCTGTTTGGCTAGAACAACTGCGTGGGACCTCACCTGATTACAGATTTAGTCCCAGGCACATTAAAACATGTTAAGCCTGTGTTTGGTGGGGGACACCATGAGAAGCTATCCCGCACCATGCTTTGGGCCCACAAGTTTTAGAAGTAATTCTCTTGAGCAGTGGTCCAATCCCTGCTATACGACATAGGAATACATGTTCTGTTCTGCCTTTGATTTTGTTCTGAAACCTATCTCATGATATAAAGATAGTTTTGTCATAATAAATGTGTTGGAAGAATTTGGTCTATTTTATTATTTTTGGATCACCTGATTTAGATTTATTTGTAGGTTAAAGATGAGATCTACAGTAACTCACAGATCAGATTAATATAAACACATTGATGTTATTTTTAAGCCATTTCTGATTTATGGGAAGTTATAAAAATGTCATAGTTTCGGCTCCTCTGTTTCCCACCAAATTCTCCTTTGCCCATCCTCGTCAGTTCTCCTACTCGCTCAAAGCTCCTTTCTCACTTATGCCTCTCTTCCTTTATTTCACTCCAAAATACTGCCACCATCATTAAGTGTGTTTTTATGTTTAGACATGTAGATACAAACAGGGAACAGAGAGTAGACCCTTTCCAGTATCTGTAACGTGCAAACCTACCTTTCCAGGCCACTAAATATTCACTTAATAACACGTGTGCTCCACTGCTCTAATCTCTATATTTTTCACAGTATGGCAGCATTGAAAACACAAAAGTAATGGCAACGGTCAAAGTAGAAGTCAGGAGGTTAAAGGTGAGATTCCAAACACAAACTCCATCTGGAAAGGTTAAAATGCAGCTAATATTCAGAGAGCCCTCCGTGTCATCAGTGGGACTTGAGGTTGGTCATAAACTGTGAAAATTGAGAGGACGAGTTCCAGCAGGAATATGTATTAGGACAACTCTTTCCATCATTCACTGCAGTGGCCTCATCGTGGAATTATCCATTAGTGTGAACCTTGAAAAACCTTGGAAAGACTTCATTCAAGGGTGAGTTTGGTGAAACAAAATTTATGAAATGGAAATTGATCCTCATTAATTGTTGCTTTGAAAGTGAAACCAGCCCTTTTAGATTTGTAAGTTTTAGGTCATATAGTATGTAATAGAAGCACATTTTTCCTCAGTTACATGTGCTGTTTTTTGAAGAATACTGGTTGCTGTTAAATAAAACTCATCACAGCGAGGGAATTCAGGTAAGTCTTACATAACACGGGAACAAAGGAAGTACAGTCAGTCTCCCCAAAGCCACATCAAACCCTTCTCATCCTCCGGTGCAATCATGTTAGATTAAGATCTCATAAAGCCGGGCACCCTTTCCTCTCAGTGATCCCGGCGTAGCACATCCCTTCATTAACCACAGTAACACAACAGAAAGCATCCTTCTAACTACCTTGGATAAACTTGCCGTTATTGGTCCCCATTGCAATAAAGTCTGAAAACATCCTGTCTTTTAGACCTGATAAGGGTTTTGGATCATGACTTAAAGTTCAGGAGACACTTTTGAGACATTACAGACTTAAAGCTTTTTCCAGGTCCTGAAAACAACCTATTACAGAATGGCTACAGGGTTACTATAGTGCAGAGGTCTAAAACCGTTTGGCTCGTGATACTTGTAATATGCAGTGTGGTTAACAAAAGAATAATTGTCTCTTTCTAGGTTGTTTCATTTTCTGTAGAGGCAGCTGTAAAAATATTCATTTTAAGACATTATGTTTTTCCTATTCCATTATTATTTTATGGCCCTCCAACATTTTACACAAACATCTTGGATGCCCACATATTCAGGCCAAGGGGGAATTACTTAGAAGAAAGCAGCTAACTTAGGCAACTATTTGCCTGAGGTTTGCTGGGTCCAAAACCCAAAACTGTAATAGATGGACTCCAAACATTAATTATGTAATTGCATGGTACCAGTGACAGACCTCTTGTGAGATGGAAAAAATCCTAAATAAAGTCTTCTTGTGTATGGTTCAAGATTGATAGAATTTATTCTCATTCTCTCCTCTGCAAAACGCTTCAGTGCCACAGTGAACACAATAAGAACAGATACCATAAAAAAAAACAAGTACATCTTTTAAATTCTCAGAAATACATACTGTAACTGGCAGTAGCTTGGAGGTCCCCCTGAATGCTACAGCACTGACAGTGTGTTGAGTTTGAGCCACAGAGGAAAAAGGAGGGGCACACAGCAGTGTCTTTGACCTCTAGTGAACTGAAGTCTGGCACACATCTTCCACGTTCTGTTAAAAAAAACTTGGCTGACAAGTGAACTGAAGTCTCTCTGATGAAGACAAATGCAGCTTTCCTGTTCCTTCTCACAACAACTTGCTACTTCCTGGCAAGTCCCCAAACAAAACTATAGGGCTAAGCAAACAAAGTGATCCAGTCATTTCACAACCTACAGCACCTTCTTTTACTGGCCAAGTATTGTTTCCAACAACCAGGTGCAAAGGTTTTCTTGTACATGATTGGAAAAGCTCCATATAATATAAATAACTGAGGAAAATAGTAATTTTAAGAAAAAGTGTTGTTAAATCTGTGTTGAATTAGTTGTTTCTGCTGTCTTCATCGTCTCACTCAGAGGATGAGTTGGTTAATGTGTGACATTTTCGGTACATCTGGGAGGCATCTGTCACAGGTGTATGCATAGTTCCTGCTCAACTTCCAGCTCCAGGGTCCCCAAACTCCCGTATTATCCCCCTCTCCACCTCATCCTCCTCTTCCTTCTTCAGAGACCACCTCCTCCCACCCGGGGGGGGGGGGGGGGGTGGACTCCAGCCTGAACATCCTCTCCTTCGCTCGCCAACTCCAGGATCCAGTCTCGGCCACAGAGCGGTCTGCTGCTCTCATCAGGATCCTGGAGCTCCTCTTTAAGTAATTTATGCTCTTCTCCAAGACTATCTTTCTCAGACCTTGGAAGCAAAAACTCAAAAGGTTGTCTTTTAGTATCCACTGTGGAACAATGAAATGAAAAGAAGGCTTGCAACAATTTCCGCTATCTTTCCATATTAGTTACTGAAACTCCCCATCTAACCACTGACGCATAGAAATCTTCACAAAGAAAAATGAACAAACATTTATTCAAAATAAGGTAAAACCAATATAATTCTGCACATTTTCCATTGCAGAAATACACATTGTGATCATCTGTTATCTACAAAACTTTTCTGACACAACAATAAAACAATGTGCAATAAGGAGCAAAATGTATCAAACCTCAAGTCATCAGATTTCACAATGCAGAGGTATCTTCTGATGACTTGAGGTTTGATACATTTTGCTCCAGATTTAGAACCTGACTCTTTAATCCTCCTGCTTCTTCTTCTTGCTCTGTGGGGAGGTATTGTTGGTTTGAGAGAAGTGCTCAGACATGGCAGCAAGCGCCCGGTAGCGATGAGAGATAGAATTCTTCACTTGTTTGGGCAGTTCAGCATAGCTGCAGATGAGAAGGAAGTAGGTAACAGTCAGTCTGGATATGTTGCTACACACAGCAAAAGGTGAAAGAGATCATCATAAGCAGGCATTTCTTAATCTCATTTCTGTTATCCTCTGGCTCTCCCTTGTGGTATGAACAAGAAATTTCAAGCAGTCCTTGCTTACGTTTTGTCATATCCGTCTGGTTGGAAACATGGATCCCAACCAAAGTCTCGAGGTCCCCTGGGTTCCACAATGTGTCCCTAAAAATATGAAGATATTAGAGTGAAGAGAAGATACACACACACACACACACACACACACACACACACACACACACACACACACACACACACACACACACACACACACACACACACACACACACACACACACACACGCCGTTATAAGAGACATTCTGACCTCTGTTTTCCCTCTGAAGAGCTGGACTGGTTCATCTTTCCCAGCAGAGAAAGCAAAAGTACAGAGAGCCCACGCTGATTTATCTTCAAACCCAGCTAGGAGTTTGTACAAGCCTACAACAAACATTTAACAAGGTTAGAGATGCTCATACAGCTCACTGACACTTTTTCAATCCAGCTCTAAATATCTCTGTCAAAATATCTCAGCAGTGTTTCATCTGCTACCATACTTACCTTCTGGCTTGAGTTTGTCCAGGAACCATTTTCTACAGAAAGTAGAAAAGTTTAGTTGTAATTATTCCTGTTCGTTACTGCTATTACTGATAAAATGGGATGTGAAAGTTGTATTACTAACATGTAAGGACCAGGCAGGCCTCCCAAAGCCTTGAAACACAGACAGGTGTCCTCCACTATGACGGGCCCATCAATCTGAAGGTGAAAAACAAACAATACATCAGTTTCAATCATTCAACAGACATGTCTCAGCTGAATGTGCCTGACTCCACCTGCAGGTGGATCACTGACTTCCTCACGGACAGGAAGCAGCACGTGAAGCTGGGAAAACATGTCTCTGACTCCAGGACCATCAGCACCGGTTCCCCTCAAGGCTGCGTTCCCCCCCCCCCCCTTCTCTACTCCCTGTACACCAACAGCTGCACCTCCAGTCACCAGTCTGTCAAGCTCCTGAAGTTTGCGGACGACACCACCCTCACTGGGCTCATCTCAGGTGGGGACGAGTCTGCCTACAGGTGGGAGATCGACCATCTGTTGACCTGGTGCGGCCAGAAAAGTCTGGAGCTCAACGCTCTGAAGACAGTGGAGATGGTTGTGGACTTCAGAAAGAGCCCAGCCCCACCCTCCCCCATCATCCTGTGTGACTCCTCGGTCACCACTGTAGACTCCTTCCGCCTCCTGGGCACCATCATCTCCCAGGACTTCAACTGGGAGCTCAACATCACCTCCCTCACCAAGGCCCAGTAGAGGATGTACTTCCTGCGGCAGCTGAAGATGTTCAGCCTGCCAAAGACAATGACGATGCACTTCTACACCGCCATCATTGAGTCCATCCTCACCTCCTCCATCACCATCTGGTACGCTGCTGCCACTGCCAGGAACAAGGGCAGGCTGCAGCGCATCATTCGCTCTGCAGAGAAGGTGATTGGCTGCAATCTTCCGTCTCTTCAGGACCTGCACTCCTTGAGGACTCTGAGGCGAGCAGGAAAGATTGCAGCTGACCCCTCCCACCCCGAACACAAACTGTTTCAGACTCTCCCCTCTGGCAGGAGGCTGCGGTCCACCAGGACCAAAACCTCTCGCCACAAAAACAGTTTCTTCCCATCTGCAACTAGCCTCATTAACAAGGCCCGGGTCCCCCACTGACACTCCCCCCTTGCAAACGATTCAAATGTCACCTGCACATGTAAATACCGTTCCATCTTGTGTCGGGCTCAGACCTGGCACGTCGCACATATTTGTTGTTGATTGTTGATCTTTGTTGTTGTATATTTTTATGTTGTCAGGTTATATATTTATATGTACACAATATTCCCGTCCGTTACGTTACTTCTGCACGGCACAGACCCAGAATAATGCACATGTATATCTGCAACGTTGTTCTTCAATTCCACATTTATATATTTCCACATTTATTTATGTTTACTGTATGTTTGTCTATGTGTAGCACCTTATCACCACAGCAAATTCCTCATATGTGTGAAACACTACTTAGCAATAAAGCTCTGATGTACATACAGAACTTCTACTTGCATGACAGTATAGTTATGTACCTGCCGTGCAGCCTCCTTACACTTCTGTATGGAAATCTCATCTGGCTCTCCTTGGTATTCAGGCACTGTAAAGAAATAAAGAAATACTCAGATGAGCAATGATTACATGAAACCATTTGTTCTAATGGTGGTAACTTTTTTTTATACTCACGGTCAATCTTTTTCGACACTAGCTTGTAGGGAAATTTATCTCCCAGGATCTGAACGACCTGATGGATGTGATCAAAAAGAGAGTTAAGAATTAAATCTAGCAGGACTGGATTAAATTACAGCTCCCGCTCACTGCCTATATTTAGAAAGTACAGTTTGGAACAGCATAAGTGTACAAGTATCCTGTCTGAAACGGTTCAGACAAGACAGCAACACCGTAAGCATAGCCTCGGTCTCAGGCATGAAATGTTTGACTCTTACCTCTTCGAGTTTTTTTGCGTTTCCAGTGACGAAGACCACAGACCTTCCAGCAGGGACAGCCATGATGAATGACACCCGGAGAACTAACAATATCGGAACGAACACTTCCGGCTCAGCAACGGCCAATAAAATCAGCAGGGGTAGCCTCAGCGAATCACCGGGCAGTTTGTAGCTCCGCCCTCATGTAAACTCTCTAATCAGCGAGCGGTCCTGCTTACAATGTCGTCCGGCTTGAAAGATCTGAGGTGCCATGTGGAGAAGTGGCTGTCAACAGACTCTGTCACGGTAAACTGAAGCGTTTCGGGGCCTTGTAACCACTGCAGCCGACGATGAGTCTTTTGCCCCGCACTGCCGAGGAGTTCAGCTCCGCAGAGTACTGGGAGAGGTTTTTTAAGAAACGCGGAGAAAAGGCTTTTGAGTGGTATGGAGACTACACCAAACTCTGCGGCGTGCTGCATAAATACATCAAAGTCCAAGACAAGGTGAGATGATTTGATGAACAGTGTCACTACTGACGTTATGCATTTCCTTACAGCATAAACAATATGTGTTGGTATTTGTCACGTCCTGTTAAAATGTGTGTGTGTGTGTGTGTGTGTGTGTGTGTGTGTGTGTGTGTGTGTGTCAGTGAATCAAGCACTTGAAAACTAATGTCACATCTGATTCTTTGTCCACTTAGTGTCGTTTTTATAATAATACACTTCCTGTCTGAAGAACTAGAATTAGCAGTACCACAGTCAATGTCAGAATACTCCATTACAAGAAAAAGTCCTGCATTCAAGATCTTAATTAAATAAAAGTACAGTGTATCAGCATACAAAAGTAGGCATTGTGGAAAAACAAATTGCCCCTGTAAGTGTTTATATTATTATTGTTATTGTTTATATTATTGGGTAGCTAATACTTAATTAACATGTATGTAGCATTTTACTATTTTAGATGTTCAAGGTGAAGCCATTTTTTTCTACTTCGTGAACTGTTGGGGAGTTAAATCTAGAAAAATACAGCATATTTTAGAAGTACATCGTGTGTTTTGCATATTACATTTTAGCTGCAATGTAACCAGCAACTATAGCTGTAAATAACATGGAGTGAAAAGTCCAATATTCTCCAATCATATATACCAGACTAGAAGTATAATGTAGCATAAAGTGGAAATACTCGCATAAATTACATCTAAACTGTATTAACAGTACTTAAGTAAAGCTGCCTACTTACAGACTTACTACGCTTACCACTGCCAGTGATAATAACATATAAATTAACAGTGTTTTGTATTACTTTCCTTCAGGTGTTGGTGGTCGGTTGTGGTAACTCTGAGCTGAGTGAACAGCTGTATGATGTTGGTTACAAACATCTAACTAATATTGACATCAGTGAGACAGTTGTGACCCATATGAACCAGCGAAACGCTGAGCGCCGGCCGGGGCTGACCTTCCAGCAGGTGGATGCTACACAAACCCCGTATGAGGATGCCAGCTACCAGGCTGCTCTGGACAAGGGCACGCTGGATGCCATGGCATCAGAAGAAGAAGGAGCACTGGCCAGGAACATGCTCACTGAGGTGAGAAACCAATGATTCAGAGTATAGACCATATGCTTTTTCCTCAATTGGTGGACTCATCAACATATGTCTCTGCATTCTCGTCACAGCAGTTCTCTTGTGTCTACAGGTGGGCCGTGTGCTAAGTGTCGGCGGCCGGTATGTCTGTGTGACGTTGGCTCAGGAGAGCGTGATCAAGTTGGCTGTAGAGCAGTTTGTTCAGCTGGGGTGGGCGGTGAGGCTCCACTGTCTGCAGGAGGAAAGTGGGAACGAAGAGGACTCCTTTGCTCTTCCTGTCTTTGTTCTGGTTTGCACCAAGTTTCGTCAGCCTATGCCCACGCCTATTCTGGAGATGTGTCTTGGGGAAGATGGAGCCCCTGCTCGTCTCACACAGGTAGCAGAGTTGCTGTCGGCAGTGAGGGAGCGTCAGGCATACTCTGTCTTGAAAAAGAGGCTCCGTACAGGCACAGGCGCCAGCTCGAACGTCTCACTCACTCTCTGCCACTCCAAGACGGGCCTTCCCAGATACACTCTCACAATACAAGATTGTCCCCCGGGTGCCAAGGTGCCAAGATCTAACCATTTTGCCATTTTTATTGGTGAGCTGTCCTGTTATCTCATCAGGTTTTTGGGTTTCTGTGTAATCACACTTGTTGTATTTTGTTCTTGTTTGATATTTTGCCCCCTTTGCTTATCCTGTCAGTGCCTCAAGGCAGTGAGACAGCTTGGCTCTACAGCTCCAGTGAGGGGCGAAGGCAGCTGGCAGCCAGTGCTAACTTTCGGCGCCTGGTTATTGTGGCAATGCACAGGAATCAGGAGTACACAGACATGCAGGCTGTCCAGTCAGAACTCTCACCAATGGTGATGGACCTGGCTCCCCCGGGTATGCCATCCAACCAGCAGGTAAACTGACGCACATATTCTTTTTGCAAATGCTGTTTTCTACCATCAAACATTTGATGTCACAAAAATGTACATCACTAATCATTTGAGCACTCTGTCCCCATTCAGGTGCCGTTTCTGTCAGTTGGAGGTGACCTGGGTTGGCGAGAGGAGGTCAGCAGGGGGGTGAGCGAGCTGAGCGGGGAGTACTGTGTCGAGAATGTCAAAGGAGAAGATGGAGAACTGTATCGAAGACTTGTTTTCCTGTCTAATGCTGCCCTTGTCCAATCAGAGAGCCGACTTGTCCCTTCAAATACTGGTCCGTCCTTTGTCCTTGTTCACCGTAATTTGTTATGCTCTCTTTTTCTTTATTATAAATAATATATTAACCAGTTAGGCAAGACAAATAATGCATATAAATACAGTCACCCATCAAACAAAGAAGTCAACAAAAAGCAGAAAACAGAAAGAATTACAAAAATATTACAGTAGTTTTATATGGAGTATAGTATTATAATATTATTATGTTTTATATGTAGATCGGTGAGGTTAATGAATATTTATGCACCTGCAGCATCAAGTCACAAGAAAAAAAACAAAAAGAAGATCAAGACTACACCTGCTCCAACAACATCCTCAGCCTCTCTGTCAGTGGACAGTGGCTTCCTCTGCTGTGCTCACCATGAAGTTATGGTGGCTGCCCTTGCCATGCTTGGGGTGGGCACGCCACAGAACAAAGGTCAGTACACACCTCCTGTTTTGTATTTTGTATTATTGGTGTGGTAGAGGAGGATGGCAGGAGGAAATGTGACTAAACAGCCACAGCGATCCAGCGTCTTCATTAAATACCACACTTGATTGAGCTTTACCTGGGACTTTTTCATCCCTTCTGTTTTCCTCCTTAGATGTCCCAGTGTCAGTGCTCCTGGTGGGGCTTGGTGGAGGAGGTCTGCCTCAGTTTTTACGGGACTTTGTGCCCAATGTTACTGTGGAGGTTGTAGAACTAGACCCTGTTGTGATGGAAGTGGCGAAGCAATGGTTCGGGTTCCGACCAGACGATCATTTGACTGTCACTCTTGGAGATGGACTTGAACACATCTGTACCCTGGAAAAAGAAGGTTAGTGAAGGAGGAGTCCAAGAGAGGGCAGTTAAAGTTAAGGCCACACCAGTGTATATATTAACAATACTAATTGACAATGGCTATTTTTTTCCCCTCTGTAGGTGTTCGTTTGTTTGACGCCATCATGTTTGATGTAGACAATAAAGACAGTACGGTGGGTATGAGCTGTCCTCCTGCTGCCTTTGTGGAAACCTCAGTCCTGCAGAAAGTCTTCAGCCTCCTAACCCCCAGAGGTACAGTATTTTTAACGATTTAATTATCTCCATCTGCTGGAATCATGTTTTCTGTGAAACAATGACAATAAATGTGTTGGTATTGCCCTTTTAAAAAAAGTTTTATGAAAAACAATTATAAAATCTGTGTTTTTGTCATGTTATTACACATGTAAGAAGTCTTCTTTTTTGTTTGATATTATTTCATAATAGTGTGTTTCATCTACATGAAATCCTCTTTCCATCTCTCCCTGCCATTGGACCAGGTGTATTCATACTGAACCTTGTGTGCCGTGACTCGGCCCTGAGGAAAAGCGTGTCGGAGCGTGTGAGCGCTGTGTTTCCCACCATCCTCTCTAGAAAGATTGAAGGGGAGGTCAACGAAGTCCTTCTGTGCTCTCGGGGAGAAAATGAGACATTGGACGCTGCTTGCATCCTTCTGTCCCTGAACCAAGCCGCTAAGAGTCTGCAGAGCGCGCTGTGCTCAAACAGGACTGGAAACAACAGCAGCCCACATATAGACATTGCAGAGCTGTTAAAAGACCTGAAAGTAGAGTAAAGTTTGTTTGTGACCGGGGGGGGGGGGGGGATTTAATCATGTGGTGAGACTGCTGAGAGACAACATGGTGAAGATACTGAAATATGAGAATAAGTGCTTTACTCTGCCATTCAGTGCAAGTATAATGATGTATAACAAGTAAACAACATTTTATCTTTACATCTTAATGTGGTGGAAGTGAATTCCTAGTGGTGTTTATTTGAACTTTCATTATTATTACTGCATTATTCCACCATTTAAATGTAGCTTTCAGTTTATATTTGACATGCTTAGGGTTTCCAGTGTACTACAGGGTGCGCACTCCCTCACTGCCAAAGAATGCAGAAGTGTTATTTACAGTAGATGAATCTTACTCTCTGGTTCTTGCTGCTGCGTGTATAGATAGGGCTGCAGCGGAGCCCTACCCACACTGGATGTGTGGGATTTTTAATAGCTGACAGCTAGCAGGGTGAATACGTGCTCGGTGTCTGATGTATCAGGGTACAGGGTAATTGGCCACGAAGTTTGTCTATCTTCTCTATTTGGGGATTGCCGAGTTAAAGTTGCTGTTTGCCGCGCATGCGCAGAAAACGATTCCGTTAGCTGTCAGAGGAGTTTTCCTCCCCGTCGTGGACCAAAACTCAGCGCAGCGAGCAGCGGCTAGCTTCTTTAAATGTATTCACAGTGTAAGGGAAACAACACACTGCGAACTAATGGACTTTTAAAACAACAACGATGTATATGGCGAGCTGTTTTCGAAGACTTGAGGTCCGTGAGTACAAAAAACACTATCGTCGTTACCACACACACTAACGGTAACTTTAACGTGAACGTAACCCCCCCTAACGGCTGCTGAAGTTCGGGACCTTTAAAAGTTGGCACTGTCCTTCAAGAAGAGTATTATTTACAGATTTTGTACATTGTATTAATTATAACAGCATGTTTGCGAGTAACCATCAACTATGGTAGTCACTCTAATGTAGCGTATTAGAGCCGGAGCAAGACGGGCTATAAAGGAGCTGGACAGGTAGCCCTGTTGCGATGGGCAACCGCGGGATGGAGGACCTGATCCCGCTGGTCAACCGCCTGCAAGACGTCCTTAGCAGCGTGGGACAAAGCTGCAGCCTCCACCTGCCGCAGATCGCTGTGGTGGGCGGCCAGAGCGCAGGCAAGAGCTCCGTGCTGGAAAACTTTGTGGGCAGGTAAGTCGAGCCCCTCACGGTGAACCGGACAGTATCAATCTCACACGGTCCCTTTGAACTGTACTTTAGGTGGATTAGATTTAGATATCAAAATAAGGGAACACTGTCTACTAAAGTACACTTTATCTGAGGTTTATACATGGTTAGTAATTGTTTTATTAATAGTAATACATGATTTAGCGATGCTCTATAAATCACTGATTTTCCAGGTTGGAAATAATCCCTTTGACTGTTACCTGTCCTGGGCCAAAATCCATAAACAACAAACTTGGTATACAACTTTAGATGTGATGGCTATTAGAAAGCAAGAAACCTAACATTATGTGGTAATGGGTCACTACTATTTAAAACTGCATTACTATTAAATACAAATAATTAACACATGTATGTTTCAACACCCAATCCAACACCTTTTCGTTAATGATTTATAAGTAAACTTTAAAGCATTAGTAAATCATATATTAGCCAGTTATAAAGCAATTAGTCCCAACCCCTTCTTTGGAACAACACACCTAAATTGCATAGACTGTATGTTGATTTTATAAATCAACATCTTAAGAAAAAAAAAGAAAAAACACACAAAAAATGTGACAGAATTTTTTTTTAATTGGACTACACAGTGCATATTTAGCACACCTGCAAGCTAGTGCTTGTGCCTGAAGAAGCCACAGGCAAAACGCGTTGTTCACAAAAAGTAAAAGTCATTTCGCTGTGCTGTGGTTTGTTTTTTTATTTGGATATTAAACGTCTTTTAACTGTATATTATATGCAGTCAATGGTTATGACAAACCCTTCTTAATAAGCCATTAGAAAGTGCTACCAAAAAAATCCATTATGTAATTTGACTTGTCCTGGCTAATTCTAATAAAACTTTAAAATGTATGAATTATTATCAGTAAAAATGTGGTTGAAATGTTTATGTTATTTTCAAATATTGAAGTTGGGACTCATCAAAATCTGAATTTGCAATAAACTGCTCTTTGCTTGTATTGCTAAAAGTAAAGCCTTGGCAACTGTGATTCAGTAGCTGGGAAATGCTTAATACACAAGGATCAGTGTTCAGCTGAATTGAAACCGGCACTTCAGGCAACTTCTGTACACAATCAGTCTCACTGTGTCCACCCAGCACTAGTGATAGGGCTGGAGCTGTGAGTCTGAAGTGGTGGCTGCCGGAAGTGGCAGTGTCTCTATGATAATAGCCAGTACAGCACCTTATTCCAGTGACGGTCTGCGAAGGTGTCGATGAACGGGAAGAGGTTAACATGCCTCATGAGAAGTAACAGAATCAGCGGTCTTTTAATTAACCTACAAGTCCTTTAGTCAACCAAAACTGAGCTGAACAGAGCTTCGTTGAATTCACACCTTAGTGACCTTTTAACAGATTTCAAGGGCCTTAAAATATCACAGCCTACCCATGAATAACATTGTTTGGGTAGGCTTTGGTTTGTGATGAGGAGACTGAAGTACTTTCCATCCTGTCTGAAAACAATGCTGGTGGGTAAGTCACTAGTTTGCTAGTTTCGGGACACTGGAGCTTTGTCTACTAAAGGAGACGCGTGTATTGTCAACAGCAGTGGGCCATCCAGGTCAAAATGTGTGGCGATGCCAGTAGCTATAGGAGGCTGGTAATGCTAGCTTTCCTGAGTGTGTATTGATTTTTCATCACACGCCTCAATTCTTTGTCTCATGACTATGTTATGACACCTCTTTTGTGGCGGGGCTGTGCCAGCTGTTTGATCCAGGGCAGGATGCAGTAAAATAAACTTCCTGAAGGATTTTTTTGACCCTGTGCATCCTGTTTCCTTATTGTTAACATTACATTTAGCTTTAAGACTATATATATCTGGTAGGGCTTATCATATGGCAAAGATTTTCTCAGCCTTCCCTATCAAGTTGCTGATATTTTCAATAGTATGTAAAGTTAAACAAATGTACTTTACTAGTCAATGTGAGCAAGTTATTCAAGCTAAGGTTTCAGACTAAGATGCAAGTTTGCATTGCCATCAAATGCAGTGGCAGTGCTGGTGTGTGTCCTTCTCCAATTCAGTGTTTCTTCTCCAACAGAGACTTCCTTCCACGGGGTTCAGGCATTGTCACTCGCAGACCTTTAATTCTCCAGCTGCTGAGTGCTAACACAGGTAGACACACACATGTTCATTCATGCGGTCTTTGCATTCTGTCATTCTTAAGCTTGTATTTAAAGCTCCCACCAGATGGCAGTATGATATTTTACAAGGGCTGAGGCTGACTGGTGGGGCAGAGCTGGAAGTGTCATCTTACTGTCAGAACTTGCATCTTGTGTTTTTTAGCCCTCTTGCAAGTTGGCAGGATGTATAGCATTTGTATCACTAAAAGACTATCTCAAATGTCTTTTAGAAACTTTGCCGGAAGAGTACATTTACAAATAAACATGGCCTAATTAAACAGCATGTATACATCCTGCTGTATTGTACTCTGTCCTTGTGGCCTGACACAAAAACTGCAAAAATATCAATGCACTGGATAGGCTTATTAATTCAATTATCCTCCAAAATTATGATAACATTATATATCTAGCATTATTTAACTTGTTTTTTCGTTTCTTTCCAGAGTACGGTGAATTTCACCATTGTAAGGGAAAGAAGTTCACAGACTTTGATGAGATCTGCAAGGAGATCGAGGCAGAGACATGCAGACTCACTGGATCAAATAAAGGCATCTCTCCTGTCCCCATCAACCTACGGATTTATTCACCACATGGTAACACACTGTGTTTTTGGGTGTGTTTGACATGACATATCCATGCACAGAAAATTGATTTCTCTGATATATCTTCTGTGTTTATTCTGCATGTGTGTGTTTGCAGTGCTGAACCTAACTCTTGTGGACCTGCCTGGCATTACCAAGGTGCCTGTAGGCGACCAGCCGACAGACATAGAGTACCAGATACGAGACATGATCATGCAGTTCATCTGTAAGGAAAACTGTCTCATCCTGGCTGTGACGCCAGCCAACACTGACCTGGCCAACTCTGATGCACTCAAACTGGCTAAAGATGTTGACCCACAGGGTAAGCCCCATGTGTGGCGAGCTTATATAGTCTATGGGGTTTTATTATATCCTGAAAATATGGCTCTACACCCTGAGTCATTATGGGGGTGAATTATCACATTATTACAATGAACGCGTTCATGTGTAAAACGTTGAAGGGAGTTGTCGTTTAGTACGTCACAGTTTTGAAATAACTTTTGGAGGCTGTAAAATCTCCTCTATTTTTCATCTTCCTTTCAGGCCTGCGCACAATTGGTGTAATTACTAAGCTGGACCTGATGGATGAAGGAACAGATGCCCGGGAAATACTAGAGAACAGGTTGCTTCCCCTACGCAGAGGTGTGCTGCTGGTGTTTGTGGGCATGTGTGTGTTTGCACATGTGTGTTGTGCCACACTGCAGTGGAGAGAGGACTGACATCATGATTGTGTCTCTTATCAGCAGCCAAAAGCGTTGTCTCGGTCAAGCTCTCATTCCCTCCTGTTTTTTTTTCTGTTTCTCTCCATCTCCTTTGTTCATTATCTTTCTGTTTATCCATGTACAGTATCTCTTTAGCTTGTGCCATGTGTTGAAAGATGGTCATGCAATTTGTATGACATCACAGTAATACCACTGAGCATGTGTGTGTCTGCACATTTGTTCTTGTGTGTATGCATAGGAGAGCTAGAAAGAGAGACAGAGGTTATGTTAATGGGTAGTCCAAAAACTGGGAGCCCACTATACTTTGTGGGGTACAAACTGCTGAAGTTTAAAAGGGCTGTTTGGGGATTAAAATGTGTTTTTAGGCTTAGGGTTAGAATTGGGTTAAGGTTAGGATAAGGGGCGGGGAATGCATTATGTCAATGATGGGTCCTCAAAAAGATACTGGCACAAGGTTGTGTGTGTGTGTGTGTGTGTGTGTGTGTGTGTGTGTGTGAGAGAGAGAGAGAGAGAGGCATGGAAAAAAGCCATGGCAGGGAGCTCCTGTGACAGTGTACAGACTGAGTAAAGCACCACCAGGTGCTAGCTCCTTCATGCTTCTCCTACAGTACTAATGCATTAGCTATGGACCCACACTGAAATAACCGCCCTAGTAGCAGCCTGGAGCTGAAGCATTAGATATGGAGCCTGGTGCTATTACATCTATCACTGTACTAAATAGGGGATTAGGCTCGCTGTATACCACATGCTCTGCTGTTGCAGAAACATATTCATTTCCTGCTTATATGCTGCAGTCTTAATGGAACAAATGGCGGTCTGGGCAGAATTCCCAAAGACACGTCAGAAAATGCAAGTTGAATCTGTCTTATACCAGAGTCCTTGATTGTTCCTTTCTCCCGTTGCACATTGTCTTCCTTACAGTGATCACATGCTCTTCATTTCCCGTCTCATCTCTTCCTCCCCAGGTTATATAGGGGTGGTGAACCGGAGTCAGAAGGATATTGATGGAAAAAAGGATATTAATGAAGCTCTGCTTGCAGAGCGGAAGTTCTTCCTGTCCCATCCAGCCTACAAACACATGGCTGAAAACATGGGCACACCATATTTACAAAGAATGCTTAACCAGGTTAAAAATGATGCGCATACACACACAGAGAAGTAAATACATTGTGTATGGTATTGTTACTGATTATGTTTGTTTGCAGCAACTGACAAACCACATCCGGGACACATTGCCAGCCTTCCGTTGTCGTCTGCAGAGCCAGCTTCTGGCCTTGAACAAAGAGGCTGAAGAGTACAGACAATATAGTCCTGATGACCCTGCACGCAGGACTAAGACACTTCTACAGTCAGTCAGTCAGTCATTCTGCATGTGTGTGTGCCCATTTATTGTCTTTTGAATTATTTATGTCAGTGTTTCTCCTGGTATGTGTGTTTCCGTGTTACAGGTTAGTTCAGCGCTTATCTGTTGACTTTGAGAAGCTAATCGAGGGCTCAGGCGACAAAGTAGACACCGTGAATCTGTCAGGAGGAGCTAGGATCAACCGAATCTTCCATGAGCGCTTTCCCTATGAACTGATTAAGGTGCGTGTGTGGGATTTTTGCTTGTCTTTGTGTATGCGTAGTGCATGTCATACAGTAGCTCCATGAAAACTTTATGTGCATCGACAATAGTGATGCTATACTGTAATGCTCCTCAGCCAAGTGCTGAACTCTAACTGACAATGTACTGCATTTGTCTTCAGATTGAGTTTGATGAGAAGAAGCTGCGGCGGGAGATCAACTATGCCATCAGAAACATCCATGGTGTCAGGTGTGGTAAAGTGTTCTGAGCAAATGCCGTGTCACATGTCGTTTACATTTATTGTTGCTGTAGCCAATCTACCTATTTGTCTGTTTTTTTCTTTCCTCCACCTGCCTCTCTTTCCCTATAGGACAGGTCTGTTCACTCCTGACATGGCCTTTGAGGCCATAGTGAAGAAACAGATATTAAGTCTAAAGGGGCCGTGTATTAAATTAGTTGACATGGTCAGTCAAGAACTAATCAACACTGTGTGCCAGTGTATCAACAAGGTATAAATGTGTGTCATGTACTTGTGCGAAGTACTGTACATTTCAGGGTGTCAGAACTGTCTTATATCTGACTCCTGCTCTGTTTTTTTTCTCCATAGCTCAGTTCCTTTCCCAAACTGCATGATGAGACAGAGAGAATTGTAACCACCGAAATACAACAGCAAGAGAGTAAATGCAGGGACCAGGTCATTCTCACATAGTTTTAGATAACCACTGTATTGTTAAGTTTTGTGTGGGTCTGTTTCTGCACGTAATGTATGTCTGCTCTATTCAGGTCTTGTTGCTCATTGACATACAGCTTGCCTACATAAATACCAAACATGAGGATTTTATTGGCTTCACAAAGTGAGTAATCTAATTGGTTTTAAACTATAAAATGAACTGTAAATTCTAACAGAGTAAATAACACGAGCACTTCCTCTTTCTCAGTGCCCAGCAGACGAACAACCAAAGCAAAAAGAAGGTTGTTGCAGGGATGACGGGAAACCAGGTGAGATTCTCCTTAGAGCTGCATTCCTTTTTACAGTATTTTTAACCATGTTAACCAAGGGGCATTTCAGATGGGGATTGCAACAGACAATTGGGCAGTTAGCCATCCTATTGGTCCATCCCTTCAACATTTTGATCAGAGTGAAATTTCATAAATTTCCATGAGAACATTCATGATCCCCAGAGAATGCACCCAACAGACGTTTGATCTACAGAAGTGTGACCATAAAGTTTAACTGCCAACTACGTAAATAACCCAGTGATATCCCCAAATCTTATACCATGAAGCCTCTTGCTTTAGCACCAACACCCTTTGGTCAAAATCATCTTTGTCACTTTTAAGCAAAACAAACTTAAGTATATATTTCTGCATGAAAGGTGCTCCTCATGATGATAATATACGGGGGTCTAAACACTCAAAAATGATCCTTTGCTGGCAATAATTATCTGCAGCGCATAATTTGAGTGTGCATGCTTATGAACTAAATCTCTTCCATTTATTTTTTTTATATTTTTTATATTCAGAGGTCACCGTCCTATCTGTTATGCATTGATCAATAATATTCAGCATTTAATAGCTGCAGATAAATGGGAGATTTTTGTGATTTTACGGGAGGAGAATTAAGGTCCAATCATCCAACCAGAGTTGATGTTGGCTTTTTATAGAAATGCAATCAAGCAAAAGTGAGACACTTGTTGTAAGTGTCAGTCTGCAATGATTAATTACATAATTTTTATGTGACACATCTGAAAGCAGCAATAATTAAAAACACAATCCCAGTATGAATATGTGTAGTCTGGGACCATGATGTATGATGATGATATTTGTTGAACAGCAGTCTATTTTAACCACAGCTTAAAAAGTTAAAAACTTATTAAAAGTTAAAAGTTATTTATACAATCCCTCATATTGCTTTGATAGCAGTTAACTCTTAAATTATTAATATCAGTGTCATCCCCAAAAAGCCTAATGTAATGAAATAAATAATTTCATCTTAATTTTACTCCTTTATCTCCTGTTTTTTTCCAGGGTGTGGCCCCTCTTTCAACCCTAATAGTAGGAGTCCACTCTCTTTAATCCTGCTCACTCACTGCTGCCTCTACTGGAAATATTTCTGTGAAGCACTCAAGCTTAAGGGTTGTGGGTTGGCATGCTACTGATGGCAGCGAATATGCACACTGGCAAAATGGCGTGTTGTCGCTTTATTAATCATGTTTTTCATCATTTGCTAATATTTTTGAACTCTTCCTCTCAGTGACAGTTTTCAGATTCCTCTCTCTGTCACAACCCAATCATCTTCACCTTCTGCAGTTCCACTGCTTCATAGATATTTTCCTTGTCTTCGGGATGTAAATGTCATTTCTTGGTATCTTTACGCCATCTCATACTTCCTGTTCCCTTAATGATCACACATCTGCCTTCCAGTTTCGTCCATCCTATTTACTTACTTTTGTTTCTCTGCTCACTTTTATATGTTGTATGTATGTGCATCTACTCTTCTCTTTGATCACAGGTGGTCAGTGAAATGTTTTGGTGATTGCCCTGTTGCTGCATAATCTACGTCATATATCTGACAAATGTCAAATCTGCAAAAAGCTTTTTTTCCCTCCACTGTCACCTGTTTCTGATCTTTACTCTTATTTTCAAGGTCCACCTTCCTTGTGCGACCTCCTCTACACACCTTTAGAGAAGTTATACCTTGCTATCAAATGTTTGCTATACCTGTCCTCTGAATGCCATTGTGATGTCAGTCCTGCCATCTGAGCTTCTTACCCTTGGCTGCTGTGCAGGTCGTACGCAAGGGCTGGCTGACCATCAGCAACATTGGCATCATGAAAGGTGGAGCCAAGGAATACTGGTTTATTCTCACTGCCGAGAGCCTGTCCTGGTTCAAAGATGATGAGGTGAGGCATTCACACTCACAATCATGCTTAAAACAAATAGATTACATCAAAACACAGCAGTACACTGAAGTCATCACACATTTATTAACACCATATCTCAGCTTGAAGCAGCAATTTAATTGGGAAGTTGAGGGATCATTACGTAGAAGGGAAAATCTCTCATCTGTTGATATTGTTGTCATCGTTCCAGTAAAGCCCCCGCAGTATTATTGAAGTAAGCGGAAGGGCTATTGGCCCTCTGTTCTGATGTCAGTGGGGCTGCCATCTGTCTGCCTGTCTGTGCCTGCTGTACAGGAGCAGAAGGTCTGCACAGCAAGTGTAGACAGGCAGACACACCACAACAGTCTCATCCTGTCACAGTTGATGTCATGGGAAGAGGGAGTACAGGAAGTGAGATCAGAACAGCATTTGTATATGGATATGAACAATATTTACATCTGGATGAAAACACTAAAGGCGATGCTTTTGTGGATAAATATTGTGTTGTTTTTTGGCAGACAGATAATTGAGTGGTTGGTAGAAAACCATATGTAGAATTCTTTTACAAATAAGTTACTGTTCTTGGTAACCACGCTTAAGCGGCTCGAAGGCCGTGTGCTATGGCTAAAGCTAAACAGACACGCTTTCTGACATGACTGCATTAAAAGCATAACTAAAAGTGCATCTTTAACCCTGTTTCCCTGTCCAGTTAACAGTTTTCTTTGCTTTTCTCTCCTGCCACCTGGACCTGCAGCCCCTCCGTTTCCCCCGTTCATTCCTGACACCCCCTCCCCTCCCCTCCTCCTTCCCATTCGTCCCGCTCTCCCCTCACTCTTCCCCTTACTCCCCCTTTTCTTCCTCTTCTGGGAGTTTAGGCATTTGGAGCGGCTCACTCTGACACAGCTGGAGCTGCCCCAAGCCAAACTGAGACACACACACATACACACACATGAACGCACAAACACACAGTGGGACAGAGTTGTATATACAGTGTACAGTACACATGCTGAGGCTGATGTAAACAAACTGGCATGCAAATAGTGGAGAAAAATATACACTCGCTCAAACAGACACACGGTCACTTTTCAGATAAACACTGAATCGCTTGAACGCAGTGTTCCCAGACGCGGCCCCAGGCACACATATTGTACACACACAGTGTTGCAGGTTTACAAATCAACTCGCACAGACGTAGCACATCTGAGACAAATAATACAAAGACAGGCAAGCGAAAATGTGTTGACCACATCAGAGCAGCAAACCTCGGCTGTCTGTGGAACACAATGACATACAAATGTTTCACTATTTCAAGTCTAAACCTTTTCCGTTCGTTTTGGTTCAGTTAGACTAGTCATTGTTTAATCCCTGCACCTCCTCACTACATTCAAAGTTTTATAATTTGGTATCAGTTGGAAGGCCTGAGTGCAATGTCAGTCACCCATGTTATCAGAGAAGATCTACTGCTTTTCAGTGCACACAGTCACACAAGCCAAGCTTCTGCTTCTTCTCTCTTGCGGTTCCCGCTCTCAATCTCCCCGCCCACACTACCTCGACAGACATTTCTTTTTTCTACTACTGACCCCCCCTCCCCCACGACCACAGCCCCCCCACCTCTGTTGCCTTTTCCTCCTGCTTTCTTTCCCTCTCTCTATCTGTGTCTCTCTCTCTGTCTCTCTCTCTCTCTCTCTCTGTCTCCCGTTCTTTCTCTCTCTCCCCCTTTCTGTGGTTGGCAGTCTCCCTGGGACTGTGCACATTCCTGGCTGGAAAATCTGAAGCTTTGTCCAAACACCAGCTTCCAAGATCTGCCCAGAGAAATCCCACATGGCTGTTTCTACACTGCAGACCTCCCCCTTTGACTCCCCCTCTCTCCTCTCTCCTCTCAACTCCTCCACAGTCTCTTGCAAAAATACCCCCCCCCCCCCCCCCACCACCACCACCACAACCACCTAAAAAAACCCTCCCTTCTCCATCCCTGTGTAGATTGCTTCTATACACTCCAGTTCTTTAACGTCTTTAAGATTACATCTCCTCTCTGTGTACCACAACAGTCATACCCTCATACTGACCTCATACTGAGAGTGCAGCATAATAGTTCAGAGTTTAATCCCCACAGCACACTGAACAGACATACATTCCTTCACCCCTCGACTGCCAGGGCTCCACCAGGCTGCCTGAAGAAAAACAGATGGCTCACGCCTATACACTTAATCTACATGCACCCCTCTGTGTGTAGGTGTCTGTGAGGCCTGTTTCAAATCTCAAATCCATTAGTCTATAGGAAGAGGAGACACAGCTTCAGATACAGCAGCTCTGATGTATGATCCTCCAAGACCACCCTGACACCACTGGGAATATGACGCACACACATACACACTCCCACATGCATATACAAACATTGCCATGATGTCTGTGAAGACAGGATTCATCATATAGCCACACAGCATCTCTACAATGAATGTATGTAAATGTACTTTATAGCCTTAAATACTGATAAGCTAACAGTCAGTCACAAGTTAAAGCTTCTCATGCTTGAGTGTGCTGTGTGTAAACTTTTCTACCATGAACATATGTATCACGCGCCGTTAACAAAGAGAATTAATTCAAGACAAACAAAATGGATGTCATGGTTGACTTAATGTAGAGTTAATGGCTGCATTTTGAAGAGAGAAAGCTGTTGACAGTGTATGCACATTTAAAGACATTTGCACTCTTTCAAACAAGAAACATCAGAGAATGTTAGACCTATTAGACCTAGATACACCTCAGCATAGAATACATGCAGATTGTCACGTTGTCCTGAGTCTTGCAGGTGAAGCACTTCCTTGCACAGTCTAACCAATGTGCAGACTACTGTACACCAATAAGATCCTGAACAGGTAGTCTGAACACTGGGATGACGGAGCAGGACCCTTTCTCACTTTCTCTTCTGTTCGGCCTCGCCATTTCCCACTCTGGTTGTTTGCTAGCAGTCCTGCCCGAGGGGAGTCGGCAAAAGGTTTCCTCTGTTATTTTCTTCTTTCTTATCCTGTCTCTGTGTTGGGTCATAAGAGAGGGGTCTCGCACAGATCGGACATCCACGGGTGTTCCTCCTCCGGAGATGTTAGGGTAGCTTGAATCGGGCGTCTGCAGGGCTGTGTCCCAGCATAGTATCCAGTCTTGACGTGGCACATTCGCTCATTCAGCTCGGGATCTGCCTGTTCACTCGGGGAAGGCATAAGGCAATTCGGGGAGTGAGAGAAGGAGAGAGAGTTAGGGAGGAACTTAGCAGCCATATATGGGTTGATGAGACCCATGGGAATCAACTTTGGAGTGGTCTGCAGTTTCTCCCCACTTCTCCTGCACTTTCTCTCCTGCATGTTCCTCAACCCTTCCTCTTCTACTCTATCAAAATTCACCCCCCTGTATCCCTCTATCCACCTCTATCCCTCCTCTTCCTCTCTTCCTCATCTCTACTTTCTATTTCTACTCCATCAGAACACCCTATACTCTCTCCAGTCTCCGCCCCCTCTGTCTAAAGCGATCCCAGATGTTGCTATATGAGCGCCAATCCCGTTCTGTCATTTTTTTCAGCCTCTGTTACAGGAAGTGGGCCCCTTTGGAGGAAAAAAAAAAAAAGAGGAACGAAGGAAGAAAGTCGTAGGGTTCAGGGGAGCACTGAGAGAGGGAAGACCAAAAATGTACTATCAGCACACACACATCTCATACCACATGTGTGCATGCAGATGCATCCACACACAGACAACACCCAGGATTTTTAGGATCCCCTCTTTTGCAGGTGTTGCTTCAGTTCTCTTTCCTATGGAAGTCTCCTTTCTTTTTCTCAATTTCCCATCTTTTTACTTCATCCAGGGCTGTTCCTAACCAACCTTTCTGGAAGCCCCCTTCTCAAAGGTTAGAAAGACAGAGCAGGCCAGGGAAGAGAGATGGGGGGGAGGGCTTCACTTTAGGAGAAATGTTGTGTTAGAGCTTGAGTCTGAATAATGACTTTCACATGTGAGCCCGGCCTCTCTCCCTCTTTTTTTGTACTCCTTCTCTCATTCCCTCCCTCCCTGCTTCATTTCTCTGTACCCTGCCTCCATACTGTCTGGTTCTCCTCACTCTGGCCGCTCCACTCCTCCAACTGTTCTCTGTCATTCATAAGTCCCCGTGGTGATGACAGACTATAGACTTATGGCATCTCTTCCCTCTTCCACTGTCTCTCTTTTGCTAGTTAGTGGGTAGTTAGTGTGAATCAGTCTGACAGGCAGACGCATCATCTGATATGAACTCAGATGCTCTGCTAGCACAGTGTTCCACGTCTCCTGTTTTCCTCGCCTTCTGACACTTTCCCTTCTATAGTTCGAGTCTCTTGGCCCTTCTTTCTTCTCTAGGGGCAGGCTAATAAATTCACTACCAGACAACTATTTTAGCTGAAGCCCCCAAGTGAACTGTCTTCTGTCTGTTGTGTATTGCTATCGACATCTGTGTTACCTCTCTGTGATGTCATATTTTACTCTGCATACCTCTGTCAAACGTTATCTGAATGTATTCTGTCTTTTTCAGGAAAAGGAGAAGAAGTACATGCTTCCTCTGGACAACTTAAAGCTCAGAGATGTGGAGAAGGGCTTCATGTCCAGCAAATTTGTCTTTGCGATCTTCAACACAGAGTTAAGGTTTGTGTGCAGGCCTGTGTTTGTCTATGTGTGTGAGTCAAAAAGGGGAATGCTGTTCTTGTCACCTGCTTGCTGAAGTTTCAGTGATATTTTACAAGGGTGGACATGTCAGAGGAGGAAAGGGAGGGGATGAGTGTTGTTTTGTCCTTACTTTGACCTCTTCCATTCAACTTTGCCACCGGGACTAAAAGGATATCCAGTGGGTACTGCAGCAGCGGGTGTAGTTTTTTTTGCCTCCAAGGTTTGGGTTTGCTGGGTTTATGTGGGTGAAACAGATTCAGAAAGACAGAGAGACAAAGACAGAGCATGAGAGAAAAAGAGAGAGTGTGTTTAGGAGCTGGAGCTGACCCAAAGCCTGGCTGATTGTACCAGAGCATGTGGGCTTTGTTTATAATTCTGTGCTATGCTGCATTCGGACACACAAAGTGGATTTGCGTGTGTGTGTGTGTGTATATAGACCACAGCATACCGACGGCAGGCTCATTAAGCAGCTAATCAAAGCCAGAGAGCTTGGATCAGAGATGAGGCTGCTCTTGTTTGGAAAGAATTGCTCGACTTACCACAAAAAGGAGGGAGAAAGAAGAATTGGAAGGGCTGAGAGGAGAAAGAAAGCGGGAGAGAAAGAGTATCAGAGCCATCGGCCAGGAATGTGTCAAAATCTGTCCTATGGCGCCCCCCCCCCTTTCCTGCGAGCTCACTCTCTCTGTTTCTCTTTCTGTATTTGCATGTGTGTGTGTGTGTGTGTGGCAGACATTGCAGTGGTTTTGTCCCTGTCTGACAGTAATCAAAAACCTCAGGAAAGTCTTCGAATCTAAAGCAGTCAAGGCTCTGTGCAGAAATTCCTCAAGATGAGTGAAAAAACTCACACTGGCGGCCACGAGCTGAGGAGAGAATAGCAAAGGGGACGAGATTTTTTTTTTTAATGTGAGTGATAAATCAACCCAGAGAACAATTTTAATGTGCGCTCGCTGGTGTATACGAATATTAGTGTCCTGATCCTAGTGTTATAGCACTCTAGTATTGTCATTGTTGGCCAGGCTCCCTGTCTGCTAGCCACCACGCCCTGACTTATTAGCCTCACCCATTCTGGCCTATTTCTTTATCTTTCTGTATGACTCTGTTGCTGCAATCTATCTCATTTTCTCTTTCCATTTCTGTTGTCTCTCTCATTCTCACACACTCAAAGGTTTCAAATATTTGAGGCTAATTGCTATGTGTTCTGAATGTGAGAAGGGAACAACAAAAGGAGGAACGAAACAACTAAGTGATTAAAGAAAAATGTTTAACAGATGGGCAACAGCCCGCTCCAGATCCTTTGCTTGTTTCTTACTTTGCTGTGCTGCCTCCACAGCCAAAGCACAGAGACGGCATGATGGTGTGAGGAGGGAAGTGAGGGGAGGATGGAGGGGAAAGAGGATCTTCGGAATGAACGACATGGAGGAAATAGATGGAGATAAGGGGATAAGTTGCAGTTAGGGTGGTCGTGTGAAGTGCAGCAGTTAGGGAGAAGTAACTGAAACTGTTTTATTTCGTGTGTCTGAAGGTATTTGTATGTGTGTATCTGCCTAGTTGCAAGTACTTGTGTGTGTCTCTGTCCTTAACATGTCAGTGAATCATTCCCTCTCTCCATTCTTCTGGATTGTATATACGATATTGCACAAACTTTTGGGAAGATTGGCCCAACCTGTAAAACCCCACTTTCTATGAAGCACCTGTGTTCAATATGGGGTTCCCAACATGGGGGTGACTCTCACAGAGCCCTTTTATGCAAAACCCAATGACCTGTATCAAATTATTTACACAAGAGGTGGGAACACTTGTCTCTAAGACATGTTTTTAAAGGGGTTGTATTTAGTTTTTGCTTTGTATATCAGAACCAACCCAGAGTTAGCTTTCATCCTATTGGACAGCTAAGCTAACATTACTGCAAATCATGTGAAATATATTGTGATTATGTGTTTTAGCTGGCCCAAGTTAGATAACTTTACGTTAGCTTGCTGGCTAACTCTGAGTGTGGTATGGCTTGCCACATTACTTCACCAGCTAACCCGATCCCTGTCACCATCCTGTGTACCACTGGTATTCAAAGTGTCAAAGTGTTGATTTTAGCCTGCAAGATAAGTTTATTTAGCCAAACTGAAATAAACAATGATACATGAAATTAATACAAAAGACTAACTTCCAGGATAATTCCTAAAAGTAGGTTAGTTAGAGTGTTCTTTTGTGTGCTGTGTCTAACATTACTAATCCCACTACTATCAGATTTGGATTATTGTGTCTCAACTCATTTCCAGACTCATTCAGTACAGTAAGGTTACTTACTATTGTCTAACAGTTATACTAAAGTGTGGCAACAATCTCAGTTATAATATTCAGTCTAGCTCCCTAACCCTTTTTCGTTATCATCCAATAAATTTAGCTGTGCTGACATTGCTGAGCCTCTCTGATGAAAGATACAAAAATAGTTATTGTAAAGCCAGCAGGTGAGCTAACAACGTATCACCTCAGCTAAATGCAGTCAGTGTAACGTTGTCATGCAAAGAGCGCAGATTAGTTCAACGTCAAGCTAATAAAATATTACTGTAACGTTGCAGTGGGAGGTTACCTGAGTTTTCAGCATCTTTCTCCCCCCACAAAGTTAAAGAGATTATTTTTAGTTTTGTGCATCATTTAAAAAGTAACAATTCACACTTTATTGTTTTATGCACTCACAAGAAATTATACTTTAAAATAATTAATTAATAAAACTTTAGAAACACAATCTTGTCAATGAGCCAACTTAAAGGATGATATTTCCCCTCATCAATAGTTGTTTGCAGGAGCTGAGTTTTATCTGTCTGGACGATACAGAATAACACTGCATCTAGGGCTGAAGCTTATTGTGTATTCCATTTAATAATAAGGAATGATTTTAATGAGTTTACCATACAAACAATGGCAGCTTTGTTCCAATAACATTTGGCTTGTATACAAAGTGGGCCAAGAGCTGAGTGAAGAAGGGGTATTAAGAAATTAGAAAACAAACACTGAAATTATCCATGTGGTCTTGGTACATTTTGTGCTCTTATGTCCTCTTTTAAGGACACTACACACTAACTGATGAGAGGCAATCGGCATCATCTCAAAAGTAACAGCTCTGAAGATAAGTGATGATTAAACTGAGTGATACAACATGTGGTTAAGCCTGACGATGTTTTGCAGGGGACACGCGTTTTTTGTAGCACTCCTAGGGTCTACTTTCCTCTCTTCCCACAAGACGTGGAGCAAGACTTATTTTATTTCCACTGGGAGTGAGCGTGGTAAGAAAGAGCGTATAGTTAAAAATGAGTGAAGACATCATTGCTCATCTGAAATTATCAAACATATTGTGACTATAACTCTGGCCACATACATTCATAAGAGAAAGAAGTAATAACACGTCATGACTAAAAGGCCAGGGTTCCTATTTTGGATAATGCTTGTCATATGTGACCATTCAGGACTACGTGTGTGATAGTCTTACAACCTGCAGATTATTCTGATGTGTTATATTTTCTCACGGCATAAATGAGGTAACCAGTGGGTCAGTCTGCCCACAGCTTGGTGAATTTGTTTAAGGTATGTAGGGTTATGTGTTTATCACTCTGTATTGTGGAAAGAGTATTATCACTGGCTAGGAAACATTGTTTTTGGAGATGTCTGACATTATTGCATTGAATTTGCAGGAACGTGTATAAGGACTACAAATGCCTGGAGTTGGCCTGTAACTCTCAAGAGGAGCTGGACAGCTGGAAGGCTTCTCTGCTACAGGCCGGAGTCTACCCTGAGAAAATCACTGTTAGTACTCCGTAGTACTTGACCCCTAATTCAAACCAATTAAACCCAACACTGACCTTAGCTGTGGGGAGTTGCACCTGTGTGCACTTTACCTTTTTATGTTGAATGTGTTCACAGCATCTGCTAACCTTAAAACCTGGCCATAACCCCTTACCCCTCTCTCCATGTTCCCCTTTCTTTTCCTCTGCCAAAACGAAAAAAGCAAGTCCCCCACCCCTTCCATCTCGCTCTGTCGTTGGCTCTTCAGCACGGCATTCTTGGCCCATGATGTCACTACAACATGTGTGTATGTGTGTGCGTTCTAGTCTGTTTTTAATCATCAGTTCCTCGTCCCTCACCCGCTCCCCCCTTTTCTTTTCTTCTGCCCACTCCTCCTTACCTCCCTCTCTTGTGTTCCCTCTATTCGGCTCTCCCTGTTCCTACCACAATGGCTCTACGCTTCTTCTCATCATGAGCATGGAATAGATGGCAAGATGTGGCGATACACATAAGACCAGTCTTGATTGTTTCACACATTTGTATTAGTATGAAGTTACCAGCTGTGATACCTCAACGGTCAATGCAGCACATTACATATCACTGGTTAACATAGGGACAGTCTGAACAGTAGCAATTACTCTTAACTCCATCTCCTCTCTCTGCCACCCAGGTGGATGGGCAGGGATCTCCTGAAAACTTCACAGACCCCCAGCTGGAGCGTCAGGTGGAGACCATTCGTAACCTGGTTGACTCCTACATGAGCAACATTTATAAGACCATGAAGGACTTAATGCCAAAGACCATTATGCACCTCATGATCAACAGCGTAAGCTATCCAGACCTGTCTCTTAACTTTTTGAACATTTTCCCTCTCTCTCTCTTTAAATTTTTGTCTTTCATCTGTTACCAGCCAAAAGCTCAATCACAGCCCAGCAAGTATTCACCATTTGAAACAATACTTGAGCATACTACTGTGACCTAAAAAATAAAATGAGAGGCCATGGAGGCCATTGGAACAAAAAAAAAGATTTACTTCGCCCCTTCAAGAATTTAGGTTCATAATCCCAAATCAGAGTAAAATATCACCTTACAATGTCTAACTTTTTGACTTGTCCCAGCTGTTTATAATCCCTCTGTAGGTGAAGGAGTTCATTAGCTCTGAGCTCCTGGCCCAGCTCTACGCTCTGGGAGAATGCTCTGCGCTGATGGATGAGTCACCAGAGCAGCAGCAGCACCGGGAGGAAGTGCTCTGCAAACACACTGCCCTGAAGGAGGCGCTTGCTGTCATTGGAAATATCTCCACCTCCACCTGCACCACCCCTCTGCCTCCACCTGTAGACTCCTCCTGGATACAGTCCTCCAGGTACAGACACACAGTTAAACTACAGTGATGCATAGATGCATGCAGTCAACAAAACTGCGCTACGCCTGTGTCATATAAGGTTCTCTTCTCCACCCAGCCTGACACCCCCTAAAAAGTCAGTGACCAGTGGCAAGGCAGTGTTTCGTGGCCATGCCCCATGCGTTCCTCGGTCGCCCACTCACACTGCACCCAGTGCTTCACCGAGCCCTGATGGCCTTCAGCAGCTCGCTGGCCAACCTAACCGTGCTCCACCAAGTGTGCCAAGGTGACTCTGAAACCACACAATTACAGCCTGAAATCTGACCTGTTATATTATGATGACCTCTGTGTGTGTGTGCGTGCGTGCGTGCGTGCGTGCGTGCGTGCGTGCGTTTAGCCTGTGTGTGTGTGCGTGTCAAACTGGCATACATGCATAAACACACTCACATACTCACTATCAAACCTTGCGCTGCAGAAGCACGGGGGCAGAGGGAGTTGTTATTTGAGCTGGGTGGGGGTCTGCTGGAAAATGTGTTTCTCATATTCTCTTTCCCATCAGCCTCAGTAGACAGGACTTCTCTCTGTGCAGCTTTCTACTGGAGCCAGAGACAACAGGCTGAGCGCTCTGTCAAGTTTTCATCTTTCTCTGTCCTTCATCCCCCCTTTTCCCTTTCTCCTAGCATGCATTTGTTTTATTGCCCTCCCCAGTTTCCCTCATGCAATAACGGTTATTTTTCCTTTTTCCCCCTACTTATTTTTTCTTGTAGATTCCTTCACTTCTCCTCTTTCACTGGTTCCTCCCCTGCTTTTGGCCTGTTTCTCCATTTTCTCTCTGCCTCATTTCCTCTGTGCTTTCCAATGGTTCTTTAGGTTCTTTCCCGCGTACAGTCTCCCTCTTTCCTGACTCTTTCCATACAACCTTATGGCTCTTTTCTTTACTCAGTCTGTTCTCCTATAGATATACAGTACATGGGGCATAAGGGTACTTGTATAAATCTATTTTGTCTCCCCCATATTTTTTCTCATAATTGTAAAGGTTGTTGACACTGCAGGCCATGAATTGTGTAACAATAAAAATATGCGGCATTATGGCAAATATAGAAATCTTGCCAAATAAGATAAAAATGTGTGTGAAGGGAATTGTGAACCCTGAAGCACAGTCCCCATAAAATTCTCCATGTAATAATTTTTAAAAGTTTGCACACCTTTCATGACAGGCCTGTAATCCAGAGGTTAGCAGTTAGGTTTGGTTATGTTTATTTTTTAACTGTTCACTGAAGGGCCACCACAGTTTTATAGCAGGAGTGTATGGATAGTGGAGACATGGGCATAAATATGTGCATTTGTTTGATTATTTATTTATTTATTTAGAAAGAAAAAGGTGAAATGCAAGTATTTCTTTCCATTCAAAGCTTCAGTTTAAGTCCTGACGGTTGTTATAACCCAGAGCAGAGCAAGCCACAGCATAACTAGACTAAGAGATTATGATGATGAGAGATCAGACATTATCCCTATAATTGATTCGTTAGGTCTGCCATTAAGAAAGCTACAGTTGAAGGCAGTGCCTTCTGATCAAAGCTGTCATGTCCTTCTCAAAACCATGCAAATGAAAGGTGGATAATGAAACCTTAATTTCAGCACCAGGTACAATATTCCATTTCATGAGCCTCTGCTTGTGACAGATATTATTACACAGTTTTATATGGTTATTTTCATAGGGATTTAAGTGGGTGTTTTGTTAGTTGTTTTTAGTAATATCTTTGATCTGATCTTCTCTCCAGGAGGCATCCTCCAGCTATTCCAAATGTCCTTTCTGCTCAGAACTCCATTACCCATCTACCCCGGTGATCCTTCCAGCTGCCACTGACTGCTTACCCAGAGACAGCCAATGACCTGTGTGATGTTTAATCCAGCTGAAACACTATGCTGGCCCTCTGTCTGTCTCCTCTGGGAGCTGCTGTCTGCTAAATTCACCAATCCTAAGCCTGTTTTGTACATAATATCATTAGCCACAAATGCTGGAATGTGCTCCACTGTCTGCTGACTTTTCTCAAGTGTTGTTGTAAATAAAATACCAATTTTTAGTTATTCTACTAAAACTGAATACACATGCACTATTTTTATTGTGTTTGAATAAACAGGTGTTTTTATGTACATGATTTCTTATTATTTCATGGTTTGATATGAAAAAAATGTTTGCATTTCCAAAATAAACCTTTACTACCCTCTTGTAGCCAGTAGCAGGTGTGTCAGCAGTTTGCTAAGATCCAGGGCTCTTGTGTAGGGATCTCCAGCAAAGTGAAGATGACCATCGCGATTTCAGTTTGATCTTTACATCACTATTAAATACTACCCACATGGAAAGAACCTATATGAGGATATATGCGCATATATGAAACCTATATGCAGTTTATATGCACATATATGCTGCATATATACAGCATATATGCACATATATGATAATATATATGCTGCATATATGCGTATATATGCAGCATATAGGCAAAATTAAGGTGCATATACAGGCTATATAGGTCTCCGGTATTGCTTCTTTATATCCACATATAAGCCCTATATGTGGATGCAAGATATGTCTCCTATATAGCTCATGACAGGATCTGGTCATTTTGTAGCTCATATCTCACTTTGGCAACTGTCATACATGATGCCTAGCTCATATTTTCTATTATCAAGGCAATAACTAAGAACTAAAAGAAAATTATGCAAGGACTTATGTATGTGCGAACACGTGAAATTGGTATCACATGTAATTGGCATGTTATGGAATTTAACAATTAAGTGAGAGGAGATGGAAAGCTATGATGTCTACATGTTTTCCTGAAACATTTACAAGGTCAATTCTTTCTTGTATAAAGATAGTGGAAAAGAAGGAAATGTATAACAAAATGGTTTGTTGTTTTTTTATTTTGTCAATCAAGCCTTTTTTCCCCCCAATTTCAAGTCACTTCCAGATTCACATTACAGCTCATACACATCCACACAGTCACCGTTACATCCACCAAATGCAATGCAAAATGCAATGTTTTCTGTATTGTCTTAATGCAGTTTCTAGATGAATTTGGCTGAAAGGTCATTAGTCTAAATGTAGCAAAAAAAACAAAACAAAAAAACAAAAGTACATAGAACATACATTCAAGTAATCATCATCATCCCACATCTATCTGAGCATTTCACTGTGGTTAATGAATTTGAAGACAATGTCAACATTTCTGTTCAGTTATTTGTCTTATTTTTGTTCTTGTACTATTTGATTGTTCTTAAGTTAATAAATAATGTAAATTTCTACATTTTGGGCTATTATTTATGTTGCCTAGTAGCTATGGATTTTTATAATTTTGCTAATATATAGGTAAACATAGGTGCATATATGTGCACTGATATAGGTACATGTATGCACTGATATAGGTACGGATATAGGTACATGTATGTACGGATATAGGTACATGTATGCACGGATATAGGTACATGTATGTACGGATATAGGTACGGATATAGGTACATGTATGTACGGATATAGGTACATGTATGCACGGATATAGGTACGGATATAGGTACATGTATGTACGGATATAGGTACATGTATGCACGGATATAGGTACGGATATAGGTACATGTATGTACGGATATAGGTACATGTATGCACGGATATAGGTACGGATATAGGTACATGTATGTACGGATATAGGTACATGTATGCACGGATATAGGTACATGTATTTACGGATATAGGTACATGTATGCACGGATATAGGTACATGTATTTACGGATATAGGTACATGTATGCACGGATATAGGTACATGTATGTACGGATATAGGTACATGTATGCACGGATATAGGTACGGATATAGGTACATGTATGTACGGATATAGGTACATGTATGCACGGATATAGGTACATGTATGTACGGATATAGGTACATGTATGCACGGATATAGGTACATGTATGTACGGATATAGGTACATGTATGCACGGATATAGGTACACATGTAGGTACATGTATGCACGGATATAGGTACATGTATGCACGGATATAGGTACATGTATGCACGGATATAGGTACATGTATTTACGGATATAGGTACATGTATGCACGGATATAGGTACACATGTAGGTACATGTATGCACGGATATAGGTACATGTATGCACGGATATAGGTACACATGTAGGTACATGTATGCACGGATATAGGTACATGTATGTACGGATATAGGTACATGTATGCACGGATATAGGTACACATGTAGGTACATGTATGCACGGATATAGGTACACATGTAGGTACATGTATGCACGGATATAGGTACATGTATGCACGGATATAGGTACACATGTAGGTACATGTATGCACGGATATAGGTACACATGTAGGTACATGTATGTACGGATATAGGTACATGTATGCACGGATATAGGTACATGTATGCACGGATATAGGTACATGTATGTACGGATATAGGTACATGTATGCACGGATATAGGTACACATGTAGGTACATGTATGCACGGATATAGGTACATGTATGCACGGATATAGGTACACATGTAGGTACATGTATGCACGGATATAGGTACATGTATGTACGGATATAGGTACATGTATGCACGGATATAGGTACACATGTAGGTACATGTATGCACGGATATAGGTACACATATATGCATATATGTACATATAATATAGGAAAACGGCCAATTTTATATATGTCACATATATTAAAAACCTATATCAAAACCTATATTAAAACATATATGTTTATATAGGTTCTTTCCATGTGGGTATGTACGTTGACTGGAAATTAGCATATAATATTAATTATTATCAGAAGTGATCGCTCCTCCAATTGCAGATACATAATATTATTTTTACTGAGCGTTTAGAAACACTCTATCAAGATTTAACGGGGTCCTTCTGGCTCCGTGATAGAAATGTATGGGGGACCCCTGCATGCCTTATTTACACTATTGGTTATGCCTGAATGGACAGAAATATGAAAATAATTTGCGACGGTAGTCTGTGACGCGCTGTTACTACGACACACTTTGTGGAAGCGGTGCTCTGAGCAGCAGGGAGGCCGCACGGTTACAGACTGAACTGTGTGTTGAGGTCGGGTTTCTTCTGCAGCTGAATGGCGCCGCCACAGCAGTCACATCCAGCTGCAAAGCCCGCCGTTAGATTTTGGACCAAGCCAGGACAAGGAGAGGTGAAGGTATGACACCTAGCGTCCACTACACGGCTGCGAGCTGCATGCAGGCTCTCTATTAACGCACACATCATTTCGAGTTCACGCCATGAATTTCTTGGAAAGCTCCCAAAACCACAGTCATAGTTCCGTTTTTATTTTTGTTGAAGTGAAAGCCGGAATGAAGGAAAGATAATGTCCTGACATGTAGTAACGTTTGCTGGTCTTTATTATTTTGAAACAAAAACAAGACCAAACAAATAAAACAAAAAATAAACGAGCGACAACAATTCCAGTCTTCCTCTCATGGGATGCTGAATAAATGGAAGAAAAGGGGCATGTGTGTGAACATGGTGCTCACGCTGAAAAATCTGAGAGGTCATCCAAACACCGCTGTGCTGCTCTGTACGGGCTGAAAGGCAATTTCAACAGGTGTTTCTCATTAACTAGCAACGCCATTGTGACGTCACTGACAGGGGCGCGGCCGGGAATGCAACATGGCGGATGAACCCGAGAAAGCAGCACTTCCCCGCCCTTTGTGATGAACAGGAATAAGGTTAATAAAAATAAAAGCTGTTATTGTTTTGTTAAATTGTTGACAGGCAAACTGGCCCTCCATACAAAACACTATTTAAACTGTATTGTCAATATTTAAGAATCATAATCAAATGATTCCTTGATTCCATAACCAAATTTCCTTGTCAAACAGTGGTTCTCAAACTTTTTCAGCTCAAGGACCCCTAAACTGACCATGGACCCCCATTTGAAAAGATTTGGTTCCAGGATCGCCCATCTGATAGAATTTTGACTTTCAGATCACTGTGTGAGCACCATGTATCACCAACAATACATTTTAAGCTATAATTTCATTACTGTTGCATTACACTTGAACTGTAGTGCAGCTTAAACAATACTATTTTATTAAATAACTTACACTCGTGATTTTTCTTATTGCAAAACCATTTAAAATATTAATTTGTACTTGTAATGTTTGATTTTAACACGCCTGTTCATTCATACACATCTACAACATACCAAGCGCATGCAACGTCTCCAACAGATTATTAAAAAATCACTGACAGCAAATTGGTGCACAGCATCAGAATGTGTCCAGTTATATGAGTCAGCATTGCACATTAGTTGATACCTTTTATATAAAATCCTGAGGTTTTATAAGACAATAGCAGCTTGGACATTAAAAGCATCTTCATATTCTCAGCGAGAGACATGTTGTCAGGGCTGTCCCAGCAGAAGCAGAAGCAGAAGAAGCAGAAGATATACTTTATACTTTAAACAGATGTGGACCAATGATAAAAGAGTTTGTTAGTTTAGATGTACAGCACCAACTTAATACTGCAGACTGACAGTAAATTCATTCATATAAAATTCTCAATTGGCTTGCACCATGTGCTCCTCTTTGCTCGGTCCATTAGTTAAGGAAGTGGCTGAGGTCCTCGTGAATTTCAGCTTCATCCCAGGGTCCCTGGATGTTGTCCTTGTGTCTCTGCAGCCTCACTAGCAGAAGCGGGCAGAGCAATGTAACACTCCCCAAGGCCAGGGCTAAGAGCACGGCTCCCCCTGGCGACTGGGACCCCAGGCCACCTACCCCTCCGATACACACAACCACACACAACCCCATAAACTGGCTAGGGGCGTTCTCCCTCAACCTCTGCAGCAGGCAGGGCCACAGGGCAAACACCATCAGGGCACAGCTGAGCATGGCAAAGGTGTGCAGAGCCCCGGGCAACCTCGAGGCTAAACACACTGAGGCAAACAGGGCTGCATTTAGGGAGAGGCTGCCAGGGGGTGAGGGCTGGGCGTACGGGAATGACACCAGGTGGGCCAGCAGCATCACAGCAGACATGGCATACACAGTGTCGGTGCTCACAGACTCTGTTAGTGTCTTTAGAACTGGTGAGAATCCAAAGGTGAAGGAAAGAAAAATAGCGGCACTCTGTAAGTCAGCCAGACGGGTCCGAGGCTCACAGCCTGATTCAACTTGAGACGTCAAGGCTTGGTGCAGTCCATAACCCAGCAGGGCGCAGACCAGGCTGGTCCACAACAGCGTCTCAGGGGGCAGCAGACCCTGCAAGGAAAGCAGAGACATGTATTAAGCATTTGTACACCATTCTACAGAGTTAAGGCACAGTGTAGACTTTCTAAAGCATCACCTGCTCCATGTAGAGCCAAAGGGTGATAAAAATGGCCACACAGGACAGCTGCTGTCCCACAAAGCCTGCTTCTTTCACCACAGCCCAGTAGCGGTACTGCCGGATGCCCTCATTCCTCCGCAATTCCTCCAGGAACCGCTGGTCCACATAGTTATCTGGGAATGGCTGGCGCTCCCACAGCACCTTCCGCCAGGGCACAGCTGGACCTGGGACACTGTCTGGCCCCATCACCCTGACTGCACATACACAACACACACGGTCACATTTTTGAGTAAGAATTGCACCCATCCACTGCTCAAAGTGGTGGAATTCAAAATTCAACATTTACCATTACTGTACCAGATAGACAAGGCTAGACTACCAGCTGGGTCTTCCCTGAGGCCCGAAACCCCCAAAAGCTCCAGGCTCATCAGGGCCGTAGGGTGGGTACTGCTTTATGACCTGATATAATGGTCTTGTCTCAAAGTGGGGCCCCACTGTGCCAAGTCATTAGTATCAAGACCCTTATTATTGCAGTTTGGAGCTTACATATCGCATATTCCTACATTTGTTTGTAGTACTACAATATTATTTACAGTATTTCACGTCAAACCTGGGAAAAAATAGTATTCCGGCATAGAAAAATTGCATACATTTAACAGAGTGGGAAGCCTAATACTTTAAATAAAAAAATAAAATAAAATATATATATATATATATATATATATATATAAAGTTAAGTATATTTATCAAGGGTTTGCCATCAATGTTAATTAACGTTATTGTGACAAATCAGCCGTGAAACGTTACAGCATTTCACCTGAATACAGATAGCTTCAATTCGCTTGAAGCTTTCCATAGCTTGGAAGCTAATGAGCTATCTGTCATACAATCGCTTTGTTGCATTAATAGTTTCAACAACTCTAACCGTGTCGGATCAGATCTGGACTTTACTTTACTTGTAACGCTGCGTTAGCTGTCAGGTGAGCCAGTCTATCCTGAACAGGGTTTTGACGGTTGACCGGTGCTGTTAGCATGAAACTACCAATACGTCCGGCGTTGACACGACAATACAACCAGACATGCCACGTGTGTGAACATTACCACGCTGACGACCTGTTATAATATCTCCCAAAATATCTCAAAATGTTTCAACCTACCTGAGAAAGGATTTTATTCGGCGCCGAGGCTACAATCTCATCATGTCATTATACCGGAAGTGAAGCATTCTATCAAAGCTCACAGCGCCCCCTGTTGTTGGAGTATTTTTAAAAAGCACGTTACCAAATGTCAAATCTATACGGATAACTTCGTCTTTTTCTTTGACAAGGTGTCTTTGGTGAACATACGTGGACCCTTCTCTACGGAGATTATTAGACCACAGACCAACACGCCTACAAACAGGTAAACTAAACTTTTTCAAATTATTCTCATGATGCTGAAGGTTAGTATCCCCCTTGAAGACGTTTCCTATGTTGACTGTGCATTCAACAATAACCTAATCTATATTTTGTCAAATAGCAGGATCCTATTGCACAGACCACAGCCCTCTGTCTCCTATATGACAAGTCAGGCAGCCAGTAAACCTGTCCGCTTCAGCACAGTGTCAAAGGAAGCACCAGCCACCATGGTAAATTCTGCCAAGACAAAATCTTGCATTATGTCTCTTTACCAATACACATGTAATTGCCCTATAATCTTATGATGAGGTGTCTCTTACATATAACCCATGTTTGACTCTTGTTGCAGACAGGATCAAGTCTCAACAAAGACAGTGTTTCCAGAATGAATGGATTATCCCCACACCGTCTGATAGGCCCGTAAGTGTCGTGAATCAAAGCGTGATACTGTGAGGATGAGTGATGCGGACGACACCAAAACCCACTTCCTTTCCTTTTAGTTCTCCTGGGCTGCGTCCGCTGTGCTTAGCAGGGGTGTCAGGTTCTGCAGTGAAGGAGTGTCTAATCATCAGATCTGTGCAGCCCCAGATTCAGAAGAAGACACCTGATGGTCAGCTCAGTGATTTAATCACTTCTACTTCATCTGAGCTTGACGAAGCCCCAGCTTTCACACAGGTATCGGCATGTTTGATACACACACACACAGTCTCCACATACAGTAAAATAACTCAGCTCAGCAGGAACACCATAGCACACAGAAGTCAAGAAAAACATCTGTTTGTTTAATTCATACACATTTACAACTACAGGACATTAGTTGAATAAATACTTTATAACGTCACATTCCCTCTTCCCCCACTGCTCTGTCAGGGTAGTAAAAATAATTTTTCAAAGACAGCGTGGCTGTTGACTCAGAGACTTTAACGATTCCTTACTCAGTAACTTAAAAATACATTTAACATGTGTGTAGTCTTTTATATTTGTATTACTTTGGAGCACTTTAAATAAACCAGAAGCTGGCTTTAACTTCATATTATGAATCCATCACTTAGAAGTCAAACAAAGACTTACAGAATCTCAACATAAAGTTCTTCAATTAAACACTGGAAACCACAGTAAGATCAAGCGGGCAGAGGAATTAAGGATGGTAGTAAGCACTTAAACTAAGGCAGAGGATGGCCATTTGTTACTACCATAGATGTAATACATACATACTGTATGGCAAAACTGTATTAGTTTATAACAATTAGACAGCTCAAGGTTTGATTTTACAGCACTTCCAGCATGAGGCTGTTTAATTGTGAAGGCATGAACTCACTGTCTGATCTTTATCTTACAGTACAGGGCAAACTCAGAAGATGGAGATGGTGCAGCTCAATGTTAACAATAAAAGAAGTCATCTCAGCAACCATGAACACAAGCCATGGTAGCGTCTTAATACTATACAAGCAACCAAAGAGATAAAACCCTCTTGAGAAGTGCTCCTTTACTCACATATCAGGACAAGTTGTGGACCCGTTTCTGGTGGGCCCCCCATAAAGGGCCCATTATGTTAAATCATGCTCCAGGAATATGAAGACAAAAAACAAAAATGTTGTTCCGTGGCATCAGAGGCAGTAAAATGATCAGATGTTAGTTTGTAATGATGACTAATAAAATATGAATATCAAACAAAATACACACATTTAAAAAGAATGCTGACGTGGCCAAGGCAGCGAATGGCTTGCACATATTAAGCTGAGCAGTGCACCCCATGTAGCAGTGGTAATGACCTTCCAGGTGTCGGCGAAATAGAAATAGACTTCTGTCACCACAGAGACAGGCAGGCTCAACATCTTCGCACTGTAGGTTCCTGTAAGCAGACACCCGCCAGCAGTCAGGGTAGCCGAGGTTGCTGCCATGTCGGCCACAAGTCATGGCAGAGCAGACTAGGGCAGCAGTCATTAAGAGTTTTGAAGACGGCCTGTTTTCTCCCACTCTATGGTCCCTCGGGTGCCAAAGAGCGGCATTAGCAGCGTGGCCCTGCCTAAACACCTGACTTTTCAGTTGAAAGGGAAAGTGTGACTGAGCAATGTCCATGGAAATGGGAGAAATATTCAGAGGTCTCACACACAAAAGGCAAAAAGGGTGGCAGCTAAATACAAATACACTAAAGTGTCTTAGGAACACAATGAGTGCATCTTTGTGAGTAGCTAATGTATGGGGGAAGGCATGCCTGCAATCCACTTCCCACTCCTGTTTGTGCAGAAATAAATCCAATTCTTCAGACACATATCATTTCTTCATCTAGTTTAGCTTGAATAAAAACATGTCCAAAGAAGAGAGGACATTTTTGCAACAGGTCTGGTAACTTTAGGCTCCGTTAGAAAAGTAGTATCATCATAAACGCGCATGTTATGGCACTTTCTGTGGGGAATTAAAGCAGCTGGGGAGGACTATAAAACAATCCACAAGTTTTCAAGAGAGACGAAGAGACTTTTCTCTGTAGCAAAGACACTATATTTGCAATGTAGTGGAGCTGACAGCTATAAGTTCCTGCTCCAAACCAGGAGCTCCAGTGGACAGAAGACCAGAGTAACAATGCTGCTAACTTTGTTATTAAGAATGTCAAATTGTCTGTCTGTTTGTGTATGTGTGCGTGCATATGTATGTGTATAGCTGACACCTTGTATTAAAAGTCACAAACCAGGAGATTTGCTGAAAAGATTCCAAAGGTATCAGTGGCCAAGTGCATTACTTCCTCCCCCCCCCCCCCACTTGGGGTGATGTTATGAACGGACTTTCCTTTTATCTTCAAACAGTGAGCGGACTAGGTAGACCTGAAGCGCCGATATCAACATCATAACAATGAGATTGACCACCGACCACAAGTTCACCCTGTCAAAGTTACTCTCCTGGAGGTTTCTGTCGCGAGCCTCGAACGCCCGCAGCAACGTCTGGATCTGCACACTTTTGCCCAGTCGAGCCTTCACGTTGTTGATGGTGTCCTGACGGAAGAGGAGACACACGTCAGATTGAATCTGAGAAAAACTTTCACATACACTGTTTCTCTGATGTGCCTGACACTAAATTTACTAAATGCACAAACTTACAAAGCAGAGTAATCAAAATCAGAGTTGGGTCTCTGGGGGCAGGTTTGAGTTTGTAAACAAAGCAGTTAAATCGGGTGTGTTCCTTCTTCCATGAGACAACAACTTCCTGCACATCTGGAAGAGGGATTTCCCTCTTGTGAGGCCTCTGTGACCTCTGACACAAATTCAGGGAGTGTCTGGTGGAGGGGCAGTGCAGGCTACTGTGGTGCAATCTGAAACAATTGGCTGCCCTCAGCCAATAGGTGACAGTTCATTATATTGTCTATTCTTGTGACACTCCTTGTGACTATATTTGGATGTCGACATGGGTCCCGTTGTCCCACACCGCGTGTGATGCCATGCGTTTCCGCTACTGCCTCGCTGCAGGGGGCGGTGCTGCTGCTGCTTGATAGCGTGACCTCCCCAGAGGCTGAACTCATGTGTCTGTGCTGGACACTAGAGAAAAAACTCTGTTGTTAAAAGCCTTTCTCTGTTCAGCCTCTACCCGAATATCTTTGGTTTAGAGTCACTCCTGTGCTCCTGTTCATACTTTGAAATACCGGCTTAATTTTATGGTTCTACTAACTGAACATTTCCTGTTGTTGCTGCTTCATATTAAAAGCTCACCAGCAGCATGCTTTTATTGTGAAGAGGCTACAGGAAATGAAATGTGTTTATCACCAAGTTAGCTTTGTTATCTGTGCTTTTATTTAATTTTATCTTCCAGATATGGATATATTCTGCTCTATTTTGGTCAGCAGATCCGTTTGAAATATTACAGGGAGGACAAGTAGCCTACAAACAGAAACAGCCACAGTGAGCTGAAACGTGCTGGAGGTCTTAAGACTGGTTTGCACCAATAAGGGTTCATTTAATCTAAGATCAGTTCTAGTCAGAGCACAACTAGGTTTAAAATAAGTAAACCCAGATTTAAAAGCAAGCAGAGCTCTGTTGCACAATTAAGAAAGTTTAGCAAACCCAAGTTTATTGATGTAAACCAAAATTAAATACTTAAAAATCAATGAAGAGATGCTTGCTTACCCAAATTAAAATTTATTAATTCATACACGTGCTGTCTGGACGTAATAAGTAGACTATAAAAGATTAACTGTTAACTTCCGGCGGCTGTACTCTGTATGCCTTAACAACATTGTTTGCTAGCTAAATCTAAAAAGTTAATCAGCCTACTCATGATGGCTCGGTCCAAAAAGGTCCTTTGAGAAAAACATGTTGGCCGAGTGAATGGAGGTTTGGCCAAATAAGATTTAAAAAGACAGACAACAGCAGAGTAAGGAATAAACAGACTGCCTGGCAGTAACTGACAGACTGTTCATTTCTTTCCCTGCCATGTTTTACAATTGGTTCCTGTTCAGCTCCGTAAAAAGTTTCCTGCTGAACTGGAATCTTGAGGGAAATTCCACAGATTGATAAACTCATTGGGTTGAGTCTGTCCCCTAACCTTCTTCAAGGAATTTAATTAGTTTGGTCAATCCATCTCAAAAAGGCAGCCATTTTAAAAGTCAAACCTCCTGAAGTGTATGTTTAAATTTAATACTGGATCGCATTTTAAATTGGGTTTTAAAGTTTTGGTGCAGCACGATTCAGTTTAATCTAGGTTTAAATAATAAAAAAAAAATAATAATAATAATTTTGAATCTTTTTTAAAATTTTAAGATAGTTTTAAAGTTCGGTGCAACATAATTTATAGTTAAACCATGATTTAATCTGATTAAAAACGTAACACTTGTTGGTGCAACCCAGCCTTACTGTGTTTGTGACTAGCATGCCTTCAACACGTCATGAAGGTCAACACCTTTACCTTGCTGTGCAGTGCTGTGGAAAACCGCGTCATGACTACCTCCCCTATTATGAAAAAACTCTTTATGTGGTGCAATTTTGTTGGCAGCCTGTTGGGTCACTTTGTACCCTCTATGTCATCCTGAGAGCATAGGTGGCACAGTGACAATTTTCTCAGTGGCAGACAAGGGAGGGACAAAGTCTAAAACGTACAGTGAGAATAAAACAAACACTGTCGATAAGTTTGATCTACTCACCAGTGCCAATAAGGCTCTAAAGTTCCCACACAAACAAACCTATTAGACAACACACTTCATCTTTTCTGAATAACGTAACACGTGGTCCATGTCAGACTGGCTGCACCCTCACCATAATGTCTTCCAGCTTCATGTCCAGTATGTCTGTTCCGTGGACGTACTCCTTCCAGTCATCTGGGTCTTCATCTGCATCCATGTTGTCCAGGATCAACTCAAAGAAGATGAGCTTCTCTGAGACGGAACTGAACGTGTTGTCAAAGCAGAACATGTAGTCTCCATCCTCAGTTTCAATACTGGAGGGAAGCACAGGCAGTAAGAGCTTGCACAATGAATGATAAGTAATGCAATGTCTCCCAGATCGCCTCTGTAACTTACGTGTGCACTCCATCTGACTTGCGGTAGTCACTGAACAGCAATTCGCCAGAGGGAGAGGAGATTAAGAAGTCGACATCAAGACCTGCACCATCTAATACCTGTGGACATTTGAGGACATTCACACATGAGAAACTGTTAGAAAATTGAGAGACATTAAAATGATAATGCAAGTTTGCGTGGGTTGTAGCAAGCAGCACTTGATTTACGTATTAATTTATTTCATACATTAAATGTGAGGAATGCTAGTTTTTCCACTCAAGGTCTCCCTCGTTCTCCACTGGAAGTGATAAGCCTGGATACCTTGTCCTCCATGGAAGACACTACAACAGATATACAATGCTTGGGATGTCTCCCCCAGGCAATAACAAATGGCAACTCCCTGACATCGCCTAAAGTCTAGCTGGATACACCAGAAAGTCCAACACAGAGATTCATACTAAGCTGCACAGTAACTGGCATAACAGGTTCAGAAGAATATGAAAATCGAGGTGTGTGAGCCTCATAACTCTTGCGCAAATGATATTTTGATTTAACACAGCAGTTTGCCAGTGTGATTTGTATGTGGTCTGCATTAATGTCATCTGCAAACGAGAACCATAACACATAGAAAACGTGAACAATAAAAAGGGACAATCAACATGATCCGACTTTGGCAGGTTACAGTTAGAGGTTACGGTCTTACACAAGATTATCCAAATTATGTGAGTCTTTATGACCTGATATTCAATCTCCAGTGAGGCATCTTTCTTCATGGTCTGGTAGAAACACTCCTTGCGACCAGCGGGTAGAGTGAACGTGAAGTCACTGTCCGAAGACTGAGAGAAGTGAGCCAGCACCACAAACCTCTCCGAGACCAGAGCGACAAACACAGACAGTGCCCACAAAATTACCCGGTCTACCTCCATAGTCAAGCCTGCGTGCCTTAAAGTCCAAAAGAAACAAAGCGGCGGTACAGTGTTTCAGTAAGTAAGCAGCGCAGCGGCTAGTTCTGTTCGCCCAAACTTCACTCAGTTCTCGGCACTGTCGGAAAGTTCAGGACCCCGCCGGTTTAAAACAACACATATTTATTTAAAATAGTATTGGATAAATTCACTTCTCTATTTTTAGTTACTCAAATTAAGCAAATTTCTGTATCGTATTTATCATTCGATATATGATGCATACAATAAAATCGTACGGGCACTTTTTTAGGGGTCTTCTCAAAATGCATTCTGGGATATGTAGTTCTTCTGGTCCGTGTGGCGTAAACAGAAGGAATCAGCCTCATTTTCACCGCATTGCTTACGGCTTATTATAGAGTGTATTCAAAAGTCAATTTCTTCCTTTTAATAAGAAAAGTGCAATTGACCATTACAAGCTAAACATGTAAAGAAGAAAGCCATGATTGACAATATATAGGCCTACATGTATAAATATGTGTTTTTTGGTTGTTATTTTTTTTTCTTTTCAAGACTCTACAAATCAAAAAAATATATAGTATAGTAGTTTAATGAAAAATCCCTACAAAATATTCATATTCATATATAAATATTAAATGAAGAGGTGGAAATGATTGCACCTCTGATAAAGATAGACTAATACAATGTAGGTGCATTGAGCCTTGGGCTTTAATAACAAATTATTGTGTTTGAAATGTCTTTTCAGGATTTTCAAATATATATATATATATATATATATATATGACTATGAGGTTTCTTTTGCGATGCAGAAAAAAGTACACTGTGTTCACATTCCTTCAAGCACTCACCACACACCACATCAAGTGAGTAATTGCCTTAACAAAAAACGACTGTATCAACACTTAACACTAAAACGTTTGGTGGTTAATGCTTGTGCAATAACTTACTAACATTGCCTACTTTATTAACTGATTTGCTTATCAAGAAAAGGCTGACGCGTCCTGCTCCACAGTCACCAACTCATCCCCAGTCCAGGGGGCGGGGATTGTCCGCAGATACGGTGTCGCTACGTGTCCTATGATTGGTCAACAAATCCACAGCTCGGATTTAATTGGTCGGACGTGAAGCAGGGGTTGAACTCACCGAGAGCTAGCTACCCGTCAACAACAGTGGTTACTAAAGCTGAGAAAGAGGCGGACAACTGGTCCGCACAATGAAAATTAGCACGCGTCAAGTGTAGGGTTTAGCCACAGAAGGCAGTCGTTTGTTCATTTGTAATTAAAAACAGGCCCTCAGCCAACAAAAAGCCTGTCTTCGGTGTATTGTGAAGATTAGAAAAAAACCCAAAGAGCGAGGATGTTGGTCCCCGCGGGAAGATAATGAAGAGGCTGCGCGTTTTGTTGGTGTGCCTCATTGTAGCTCTCCTGTGCTGGTAAGCTTACCCCACATCTCCAATCACATCATTAATGGCATGCATGTCGGACAAATGACGCAACAATAGGCGAATCACGTTTAATGATAATTATACTGTCTGTCTCATAGCTTTGTCTTCTACCTATCCGTCAGTCATCAGTGTGCACTGACAGTCAGGAATCCTCCTTGCTAACTTTCACAGCTAACATTATCAGCTAGTTAATGTGTGGTGTGATGTGTAGTTGACCTCTGATGTTAAGTCATGGTTTTGTCGATACTTGACATAACTGGTTGATGACGTCTGTTGTTTAAATGGTTTATTGTGGGTTAGTGGATTAACGTTAGCTATCCAGCTGTTGAATAGCAGCACAGCTAGCTAAGTAAACCCAAACCAGTGAAGTTGGTTTGTGACTGCAAACCTTACTGTCTGGTGGCTAATTATACTGGAAATGTTAATGGCGAGCTTTGTATCCTTTCTGATAAGGATATTTAATGATACAATCGTAGTTTTCTCTCCAGGTAACGTGGGGCTTCAACTCACTCCATTATTTCACTATAGGTTATATTCCAATTAATTTAATTATCCCTCTTGAAAATTCCCCCCAAATCGTGCTAAATCCACATAATCAGCTAGCAAAGTCCAAACTGAAATCTTAAAATTATTTAGATGGTCTGGGCAACAGATTTGGACCCAGAATGACTCAATTTGCAATCTTTTGAAAAAAGGAAAAGCAGACATGAATAATGCAGACTATGTTGGCATTGTTAGCCTAATTAATAAATTACTAAAAAAGCAAGTAATGAGCAATGTTCAAAATTAAATGGATTAAATTTCTGTCAGTTGACCAAAAAGAGTAGTTACTCATCACTCCTTACATAATAATCACTGCAAAACTCTGAGGAGCTAGACTGTACAGTCTCTATAAAGGTGAAAATGCAGTGTAAAATGATATTTGTACAAACATGACGGATCTGTTATTACAAAAGTTGCACTATGAAACACAGTGTGTGGTGTGGTTCCTCTCTAGAGTATATGCAGACAGAGGTGACATCTGGTAGATTAGCTCATGAATTTGTGTAATCTCAGAGGCACGAAGCAGGTAACAATATGCAGGGTTTGTGAAATGGGATTAACAGGCTAGCATGCCACCTTTAATCCAGATTGGTGATTTAGGGGCAGCAAATCATTCAGTGTTTTGCCTGCTGATTGTTGTTTTTGTTCTCCACTGTCCTAGTCATTTGTTTGTGTAAAACTATTCACCGCCACTTTTCTTGACAATATATTGGGTTAGATGTTTTTTTTGTTCATGCTAGTCATAATAATTAGTTGAAAAATAAACACCTTTTGTTTCAATATTAATAATAGAAAGCAACATTCTAAACTTTTGTTTTAAAACTTCAACAACCGAGCTGTTCCAGAAAACGTAGTACTCTTGCATAAGATGTGTAGGCCGAGTCTCTTCTTTTGTTATAATGTTTCCAGGAAATGATACCTTAATACCTGTGCTGTCAGTAGAGAGCAGTGGTTCTATAGTGGTAACATAGGCTGTAATGATCTTATCCATTTCATACCTCATCATTATGGTCTAAAACCAGTAGTGTTTTTTTTCGTCCTTCCTTTTTCCTCAGAGCATCGAAAACACATTTTAAATCTCATGTTTTATTGAGTGTAAGAAGAATGAGCCTTATTTAATGCCCTCATCAATAAGTAAAACTTCATCCAATACACAATTTGGTGTACTGGATGCAAAAGAATGCAAACTAGTATGTCTAAATATTTGGTCAGACTGAAAAGAAAAATCCTACTCACTCACCCAGACTATGATAAATTCATGTCTTAGTCTCTGTATGATCACATTTTCATCGATTAGCATATTTAAGTATTCAGGTGTTGCTCGCATAAGATTTAGTGTATGTTTTTGAAAGACAGAAACATGAGAACATGAAAACACAGCAGTTAGGCAGAACAGGGTCCTGCTATGTATCTTCTGAAGGCCAGTGAAACAGGGACACTGACTGAGGGATCAACATATTCATTTATATTCAGGATGGTCCATGGGAATATTGTAAATTTAATTCATGAGTGAGACGGCCTTCGCTAGAAATATTAGATTCAAGTACGGCCTTGCACGCCAGGTGTGTGCTTGGTGCACCCTTTCACTTTCCCACACGCTAACTAATGGCCATGCAACAACATGCACAGACTTCATTACTAATGCAAACCCTCTTTAGTGTGCTGCTGTCGGCTTCTCGTGCCTCCGTGCCAACTCTCACACGTCCCAGTGGGAACAGAGAAATGGGGAATGCAGTCCTTGCAGTAATCCAAAGGTTTCCAAGGCAGCAGTAATTTTAGACAGAAAGGGACTCTGTATTAGGAGGCCAGTGGCAACTCCCCACCCCAAACTATGGGGGGCATCATTCTGTCGTCGTGATTCACCTGCTGCTTTTTAATAACCCTGTGCTGCTCAACATGGTCACTGCTAATGTTGTTATTTACCGTTCAGATTCTAGGCTTTTATTTGTTATGTAAAGTGTTCTATATGTTACTGTGAGACTGCTGTTGCTGCTCAGCTAGAGAACTTTATGCTGCAGTGCTCAGAAAGGGTGTGGGTGTGTGTGTGCGTGTGTGTCATGCTGCCCCTTCACTCACATAGTCGGCAACAGGGATCTTACTGTGTGTACTGTGTGCCAGCTCAGGCTGTTGACATCACCGGAGAAAGTTTTGAGAGCATGGGAGTGTTTGTGTGTAGGTGCACATTTCCAGCCAGGTTGCCTCTCAGTAATGATAGCTTACTGTTCACATATATTTTCTCCCTGTTTCGATTTTTACTTTAGTGCCTAGACGTGTTGCTGAGTGTGGCGTGTCAGCACTCCCCTTTGTGCTAACACAACTCTCACGGCAGGTTACAAACTGACAGAACTCGTTGTTGGACTTTCAGGCATCTTTCTGCTTATTGTATAATCTCTCAAACCCCAAAAAATTGGGTTCATTGCATTGGTACAGGAGCATGCTCTACAAAAATAGCTGCATGTTTTGTCATCATCTCATTCTGTCCCTGTGTCATAGGCTTATTAGTTTCACAGCCATTTGAAGATTATTGTTGTTATGTAACACGATAAGAACGCAAGAGATAACTCTGCAGCCAACTGACCAACTGTGAATTTTATGGTATATTCCATTTGACTGCAGACACTTTCTAACCATCCACAGCATAACAAAACTATCATAGCATTACAATTCTCTGAGCATGTGCTGGTAAGAAGTAGTTGTCCATGCAGTGATGTTAAATTTGAAAAATCTTCTAAATCCCCTGATTGTTGCTATTTAGCGCTCTTGTGTTCTCGAAGAAGGTTTTTTCTTGTCCAACCTCTTTCCTTTCCTGGGGGGGGGCGACTGCAGCGGTGTGGAAGTGGTGTGGTTACAAAAGATAAGATGAACAACAAACCACCGTAATGGTTAAGACTGTAACAACAAAAGGGGCCAAGACGATCAACTTATTTCACCACCTCAAGCAGAAGCACGCGGTTGGGTACGAGGAGAGCACAAAATCCTGTGTGGAGAGCTCAACAGCTATTTCAATATTTTGTCATATCATCAACAATATCATATGCTGAAATACCGTGAAATATTGTGATATTATTTTAGAGGCATATCGCCCAGCCCTCTTGTGTACCTCTGTTTTCTCTTTCACCCCACACACACACACTCACACACACACTTTGAATTGTTGTAAACAAACAAAGACTTAAAAACTTTTGACTGTGTGCCCCTCTGTCTCTGACGGCATCAAAGGAAATGTGAGAGATGTACAAAGAAGGAAGCCAGGGTAGAGAGAGGACCCCCTCTCGCTAAAATGACTGTGTTCTGACCACATTTCTTTTTGGGAAAGTTGTTACAGAAGTAAGATTTGCCTTGCGTTGCCCATGTGTGCCAGTGTCCAGGGAAACTGTAGTCACGGATAGCTTCTATTTCCAAACAGTATCTGTACTGGGCAGTGAAAGTAAATGAGTGTTTGGGACTTGAAGGTAAAATCGAAGTGGAAAGTAACAACGCCTGCCGTGTTGCTTACTGTGGCCTTTTCCTGAAACTCGTCAACTCTCAGCTACTCAGTCAGTTCATCCAACTGCCTTGTTGCTTTTATGGTCCTGTAATACTGTATGTATGGCCACTGTGATTTACTGCATGTGTGTCCATACACATGGTTATTTTTTCTCTCCTGTTAGTGCTGCCTTCATTAGTCGACTCCCTTTGGTGTTCTTGCATAGTACATATTGTCCGGCTGTATGCCTGGGCCTTGTATGTGCAGTCTAGTCAAAGGGTGAAGGAGTATCTCAAATATGAAGGTGTATAACTCTGGAATTTACCTTGCGTTTCCCTATTTCAGATGTTTGAACAGCATGTTTGCCGCATTCTCACTTCATGTTGAGCCATAGTCTGGTGGTCAGAGGAGTATGATCAATAAGTGGTTTCTCTTATGTGGTCTGAAGGACATTAACATTAATTTATTATGAGCTACAGACGTCTAAACCCACTTTGATACTTACTTATGTATAAGCACCACATCCTGTACTGTCACCATGTGCAAGTCATGTGCATGTGTGCACATGGATGCACAGATAAGGGCTGTGGCTTGTTTTCCAAAGCTTTCTTGACTAACTTTCTGAGCAAGGACCCAGCATATCTCAACCCTCAAATGAATGGTATCAAAGGTACTCTTTCTTTCTTTTTTCTTAAACATAGACATTTAAACTATTGAGTAACTTACAATGAAGTGACGTGGATGTGTTACTAAAGCAAAACAACAAAAAAGCCCCAAAGCTATCTGTCAGAGCAAATATGAATAATCACACCCCGGCCTCTTGTTCTAAGACATCGCTGTTTGTCTTTTCTCTTAAGTTGAAGTGTCTCTTGTTCCAGAATTCAATTTGGAAAATGGATAAGGGATGAGATGTCTAAACAGTAAATGGCAAACATTGGCTGGTCTCAGGCTTGTTATGTTTTATTTTATATCATTTGTG